GAACGATCTCTATTAAACTCTATTAATAGAATATTTAGGGAACCGTTTTTGCACACCCGATAAAATACGATGCCCCCCCCGGTACGAACTGCGCATGCGCAGTTCGTACCGGAGGGCCCATTGTATACCACAGTGGTTCTCAACCATCGATGTTTGGATCGGCGGAGATGATGGAGGACCCCGTTCGTGGTAAGAGGAGAGGAAGGGTTCAAAATTGGCAAGTTTCTTCGCTATCTGAAAAAACGACAACTTTTATTGCCAGGCTTGACTGATGAGGCAGGGCTTCGCGGAACCCTATAGAGAATGCCTTCGCGGACCCCAAATGGTCCGCGGACCCCCATTTGAGAACCACTGGTATCGGATGTGGCAAAACGGTTCCGTAAAACTCTCTGTTTTAACTAAAAAACGAAGTCGAATAAGGTAGAGAGCTAAACGCTCCGATTTGCTCAGAAGAGGTTCTGGTTTTTGCTCGTATTCCGCCCGATATAAATCTTGCTCACTCGATGATGGTTCGATTTATATACAAAACAAATGCGCGTAGAAAGCATGAGATAACGGACAAACGGTAAACAAACAAAAAAAAATATTCTCATGATTTTTTTTTTATTCGGGAAAGGTTTGATTAAAATTATCTCAGTAAAACCCGTCTCATTTATATCACGGTTTAAATCAGTTGATTTTTTCTTCTAATTCCGAAAGTCAGTAATGTTTCTTCGAAACAACTGGTTCGGTGGCTGGCTCCCAAAGTCGTTGGCGCTAAATGAACGCCTCTTCGCCTGGTCGACGGAAAACGTGCCGAACCTCCTCCGCGATCGAGACCCGTTGGATCTGGGCTTGGGCTGTGATCTGGGAAGTCGATTACACTTAACAAAAAATGAGGTGTATGCTTGTTATGTGGTGCCTGGAACGCGTCCCCGATTGGTGTGTTTACCGCGTCGAAAGAAAAGAAAAAAGTGGTCCCTCGATTTCTGTTCGTTGACTCTACAAGTGTCATGCTGTTGCCGGCTACGACCTCGCGATCAGGGGTGTAGCAGGGGGGGAGGGGGCTTATGGGTTCCAGTATTTGGTTCCAGCTTCTCCCATGCATTTTGGTAGCTCTCCACTCCAGAGTGGTAGTCCACTGAAGCTCTGCGGCTGCCAGGACGACAGCAGCACTCCCATTCGCTCTTGCCTCTCGCCGGCATTGGGCGACATCCGACAGCGTGACAGTCCGACTTTTGTGACGTCGTTTGTTACCACTGCGGGATGACTTTTGATGCATGGGCAGCGTATAGACGCTAAACACACCAGTTGGATAGGACCGTTTTTGTGCGCTTGTTTGTGCGGACTCAACATAAATTTGCCGCACTTCTCGGCGAGAGCTTAAATTTATGATCAGTTCTTAGCGAAAAAACCGTAGAAGCCAAATCTAATCCAATGTTTCACCAAAATGTCGGAACGATTATTGGGTACGTCGACTGCAATGTCAACACACTTAGACAATGCGGTGGCCATCATTTTGTGCATAAAAACGGTTTTAGTCTAAAAAAAGATGCTTTTTAATTTTTTTTAAATATTTATTATGTTTCTAGACTAATTATAGCAATGAAAAGTCTGACTGCCGTGCGCCTGAAATTGAGCGATCTCTTGGGAGGGATCGAGTGGCCGTGTCTTGGGATTCCTATTGTGGGTTTTTGATTTCTGACTTGGCGATACCAGTCTCTGGTCCTTTTCTCTGATCTGCGACGAAGAGAGCAGAAATACGCGATGTCTGCCCCGATTGGCTACTGGTCCGAGCGATTTACGACGCAGCGAAGCGACAGCCAATAAGAATTGACTGCCTCGCGTGACGTCTCCCGTGATGCATCGTCACGTGACGCTTCGTGTGGCCTCCCCCCTTCAAAGCGAGATAACCAATCAAGGCAAAAGCAGGTGTGCATAAAAATATGAAACCAGCACGCGCTCTCCCAAAGTCCCCGAGTCACGTGTTCGTGATGTGTCATCAGCATCAATCAGTATCAGCCCCGTCAGACTACTTGGCACGTGCGCATTGACGAGAGAGTTGCTTGGCAAACGACCCCGGTGATTCACCAACCTCACGCGCACGTGATGTGCGCGTCACCTACCGATCGTACTCACGGAGGTTAAAAATACTAGGAGGGAGTATGACCTAATGCCCCGTAACTTCCTCAAGTCACTTTCTCTCGAAGCTCGTTTCTTCCCCGTTCTCCGCTCCAAAACCTTTTCGATAAGCACTTCCCATCATGCCAAGAATGGATGATGGTTGTGTACGGACAAATTAACTTTAATAAAGACCGCTGCAAACGGCCAGACCGGACCGCCGACGGACGATTGTGTGCCTGCTACGTCCCTTTGAATTGTGCATCATCGGCACCATAAAGGCAATGAACAGGCCTGTTCCTGCAACACGTACAGCGCTACGACGGCAGGGCATTTTGGGAACCCCCGGTGTAGGTCACGCGCTTTCTCGTTGCATCTCCGGCAGCCAGCCGTCCGCCGGAACGTCGTACATTGGTGGCGGCGTCTCGTGTTTGTGGCAGCGTAAATGCATCATTTCGTCGTAACTTACCTTCACGTCTCGCAGTGTCACCGGATCCATTTCTTTATTTTGTGCCGCAACCGTGGCAGGGTTCGGCTAGGTTCGACAAAAGCGTTGGTGTAGCAGACGACGGAGCCGGTACAGAGGAGAGGGATCTGAAAGGGGCTAACCAACCCTCTCCCCTTTTGCTGTGGCAGACCTCCGCGGAATAAAAAGATGGCCGCGGCCGTCCAGCGAATCTTACATGTCACGCATCGATTGCGCGCTCAACACTAGGATCGCTGAATTTTTAATTCGAAGATGCGCACATCCGACTCTTCCGGACAGCAAAGATACTTCATCGAACGAATCATACTTGAGTTCTTATGCAAATAAAGATTGATTGAAATATCATTTAATATTCTCCCAAATCTAACTTTTTATCTTAGCAGACTACAAAAAAAAAAGCTTTTATTTTTTTTTTATTTTTTTTTTTAAATTTTAGAGCAGAGTTGTTTGCTGACGTTGATGTTCGCGTGCATGAGAGCTTGTAAACAAACGGCTTCTGCAAAAATAAAAAAAAAAAGAACCCCCCTTTCTCTTTTCCTTTGCCCCCTTCCCCTCCCCCCCCCCCCCCCCCCGCCAACCCCGCCCCCTCTGTAAATTCTGAGAGTTTACGTTAGGCGAGCACTTCAGAATGCGAGGGATCTTTTCGTATGGAACTGAGCCTGGGGTTCAATTTCACAATTCAAAAACCAGAATTTTTTTTTTTTTTTTGGGGGGGGGGGGGGGGGCACACAATCAAGTTTGGTAATTCGTAACACGATCAAAAGAAGATGTGAAGCTGAAAACCACTGGTACCATCCGATTTTATTACTTGCCCATGTCGCCAAACACAACAGCGCTTGTGTGAACCGTTTATATTACAAAAAAAAACAACAAAAAAACATTTGAGTGGGCTGTTTAAATGAAAAATACAGCCGTCCAGGCTCAAATACAAACGTGCGATTGTCATTTACGGATATTGCGGATCATATTCAGCCTAGCCTATTCTTGAACACGATAAGTATATTTCAAATTTTGTTCAAGTAACTTTTTAAAAAGTATTTTGGTGGAATATTTTATTTATTGTGGCCACATCAGATTCAATTATTTTTTGACAACAATTTTATTTTTTTTTCCATTTTATTTGTTAGAATGTATTTATGTAATTTTTTTTCTGATAGTCTGTTTTCAGGTGGTTGGCACACAAGCAGATCAGAAACTGGTCTATAGACCTTTTCTGTGTACTCTAAAAGGCGTATCCGGTATGGGCGACGAAAAAATAATCCTGCAAATAGTAAAAAAATAAAGGGGAGGCAAAATGAGATAGCGGTTACGCTTATATCCTAAATGCCTTCTATTGGCGTGGCAAACGCAAAACAATGTTTTCCCCCATACTGGAAGTGACGTCAATTCAAGATGGCGGCGCACTTGCAGAAAAGGTCTATACTCCGTTGCAACCTAAGAACAAAGGGTGAGGGTAAGATGGGCCGGGGAGGAGGAAGCAGACAGAACACTAAAGAGAGAAGGAGGCTTCCCTCTCTCTTCTCCAGCGTTCCGTCTGCTTCCTCCTCCCCGGCCCGTCTTACCCTCGCCCTTCGTTCTTAGGTTGCAACGGACTATAGATGTCATGTGTATTTGAGAGAACAATAATTATGCTACAGCATTACACAATTGTATCGCAATGCATTGTCACAAATGTAAAGAACACCTCAATATTTTTGTTTCTTGTGGTACTAATTAGCATGACCATACGATATTGGCACCTTTTCACATTTTGCTTTTAGATGGGGTATTAAAGATAAAAAATTTGACTGATCCAGTTGATGCATTCTACTGCTTGTTTCTACTGCCCCACTCCCTACAAGATAAAGTTTACTGATAATGATTCTAGTCTTCCTGACATACTTTAGCAATCAGAGCTTTCAGAGTTGGCATTTTTCAAACAGATTTGAGCCAGCAATACGTTTTGCACCAGAGAGTGCCTAATTATTTTTGTACAACCCTCGAGATAATGTATGATTCTGTCTAAATCTGTTCTTTGATATCTCATTGCTAAGGGATAGTGCCTCCAATTTATTTACAGCATATATAGATTAAACAATGATATATTTTGCCCCTAAAACCTAGCCAAATAAACATAAAAATAACATCACACCATATGGTGCAATCAGGTTTTCATATGTAAAACCAGAAACAATTCAGGTGCTAATGGTCTGTTCTTTATTTCTACTTCTGCTATGCATTTAAGGGTGATTATTGTCAAAATCACTCAGAATTACACAATCTGAAACAATCTGTTCTTTTCTCTTTCCTCCGATTGACCAAGTCTGTCGGAATTGCTTTGCGCACCTAATGCACTGTGCTAGGAAGTCTGCAAGCAAAAACAGTTTTGCCACGCATGCCGCAACCCAACCGGACTGCTCTGTTCCCATCACAGGTGGCGATCAAGACCATCAAGAAGTCCAAGATCGAGACAGAGCAGGACTCCCTGCGGATCCGGAGGGAGATCCAGATAATGTCCTCTATCCAACACCCTTACATTATCCACATATACGAAGGTGAGCCAGGCAGGGCCCTCCATGGGACGCACGTGCGGTTAAGGGAGTATCACTGTCCGCCACAGTTACGTCAGAATGATCGGAAGCACTGCAGACGCTTCCAGCAAGACGTTCAGTGATCATGGCTGAGCAGAGCTGTCAATGTTACTTTTAAAAGGCAGCTAGACTACAGTTTTAGCCGCTTGAGCTGAAATGCAATAGACCCTTTTCAAAAGTGTGTGCCATACCTATTACTTCATCCCACCCATGGAGGTAGGAAGCTTGTGGAGGCGACATGAGGCCACCAGAGGCAAAGCCAGAAGTGTGGAGTGACGTGCCCCCAACATGGCAAAAACCAAGAGATTTTATTGGACGAAAAGGAGAGGGTGCCAACAGCTGTTTTGATGATCACCCTCGGGGGCCCCAGGGGTGACCAAAACAGCTGTTGTGTTATTGTGCTCTATTGTGTTACAAATACATTTTTACAAACTCTACGAACTCGCTGGCAAAAGGTATCGAAATCGGGTATTAATCAGCTAAAAAATTTAGTATATTCATGATGTCGAGGCGTGCAGCAATTGCTGGCCAGCGGTTCAGCTTCTAACACCGAAAAGGTAATGACATAGTTCCGTTTTGGTTTTTGATTCAGCAGTCTATTTACAGTGCAGCCCGAGTCAGTTAAAGCGTGCTGTGCTGGCGTTGATGGCAAATCAAAACGAATTTGTAGATTTTTCGCCGTAGTTTTGAAAAGTCTAATTAAACTAATTTACAAGTTGCTCCAAAAATGTGTCCAAGTCACAGCTGCATGCAATGAAATTTCATTGTAACTTAGGATTAGGAACTAGTATTTAGCTAATGACCTTGTAGCTAACAACGTCAACTTAGAAGGTACTTACAATTAGTTACTTTGTAGATTGAGCTAAGAGGCACCTTAATAACCGGGGCTTGGTGTTCTTTTGGAAATGACATTTCGGTTGAAACTAATAAAACCGAGAACGGGCCGGGGGTGTTATCATGCGACCTTATGATGAACTTCATTATCGAGTTGTCGGCCATTTTCGGAATTGCTCTATGTTACGGTTGGGGATGGTTCAACTATGAACAGTTTTTTGAGGCTCGAATGTTTGTTCTCATTTGTAATTGGACTTTGTGTTCCTCAAAGTTAGCAAAAGGATGAGCAAGAAAGAAAAAAAAAGACTGTATACAATCTCAAGTTGATGTATTGATGTAAAAGACTGCATGTATCATAAAAGAAAAAGGTGAACTTTCATAAGTGTGCACCTTTCCGACACATATCACCCAGGCGAAAAATGCTGACTCACTGCACAGAAGGGAGCCGCTGTGCATGCTAGGAATGTATTCCACAACCCAGAGGGCAAAGATGGCAGCATGCAGAAGACGGTTATTGGAATAGTCTATAAAGAGACACCGAAAAAAAAAGAAGTTTTTTTAGCTAGAAATCGAAAAAAATATGAATAAATAGGCGGAAATAAAAACCGTAAATTCCATACCCTACATATACAGGCTCCGGGCACGCCACGCTTGCGCAATCTGTTCCGCTTGCCCGCATCGCGAGACCGTTTACGTCGACAACCGTTCCTTTTGTGCTCCCCCGATTGATGGATTGGACTTTTCTCTCGCAGTGTTCGAGAACAAAGACAAGATAGTGCTGGTAATGCAGTATGCGAGCGGCGGCGAACTCTACGACTACGTCAGCGAGCGCAAGGAACTCAGCTCCGACGAAGCCCGGAGGATCTTCCGCCAGGTGGCGTCGGCCGTCTACTACTGTCACAAGGTCAGCGGAAGCGCCTGCACATCAGATTGGCTGGGCAGTGGCCGGTGGAAAAACACACTGTTCAGGAAACGATGGTGCCTGCTAACAAGCACGTTTTAATGCGACAGCTTTAAGTCGGAACTCCGCACAGATCTTACTCGATCGTGTTGATGTTGATCGCACCGTAGTGGGGCGACTCGCCTTATTTCAATGCCGTGCACCCCCCCCCCCCCCTCCCACCCCACCGAGCTCAACATCAAAATGTTGATACTTATTATAGATCCGGAGAGCCTAATTTTGTTCCCCATGCAAACATCAAGAACAAAATTAGAGCATGCAAGTCCACTAGGGAAATTAGCAGCTTTTAAATTTTTCATCTTGCCAACCATAGTGTGTGCCAGCCCCATCTGGGAGCCATTTCCCAGCCAAAAGCATTTATAGTCTAGAGAGAGTGCAAAACTACATACTAATGCTATTACACTTGACAAACTTCTAAGCCAGGAGTTTTTTTTATCGGGATTGCACCTGGCATAACTGCGCTGCCACCAGAAAAAGAACCTCCAGCCAACATTTTATGAAAAGACTTAGCTACCCCAGGGACCCAAAAAGTGACGTCTCTTAACGAAATGCCAGCCGTTGCTCCGAGGCTTGCAGGGGGTTTCCTTTTCGGGATCTTGCTTGTACCCTTACTTAGTGCCTTTGATTAACGTTTGTTCCGTTTGCATAGAGCACGACGCGGCACAAACAAGCGATCGGTCGCCAAAGCTACCTACCCTAGTCGGCAACAGGTGAAGAATGCAATAGATGCTCCCCCTCCAGCGCACGGTTTCTGCCTTTGACAACATTGCCATAGCTCGGCAGCAGGTAACAAGCGCGTGCTAGAGAATTCTTGGTGAATCTTAACGTATCACTGTCTAGTGACTTCTTAGGCCGTCACTGATCATAGTTTGGTGTTTTTTCCTCCTCGAGCACGATTATAACCGACCAAATTGGAGGCCCACAAATACGGCACTTGCCGTGTCATGTTTGTGCTGTGTCACATAATTAAAGTTCCGTGTTTTCGGAATCTTTATTTTTTTTTTTTTTTTCAAATTTGGGGGTATTTTTTTGGGGGTATATTAACGCAGTAGAGTTTAGGAGCTTGTGTCGCAGAAAATCGGGTGTCAGTGGGACTATAAAATCCCATGATGCAAAGTGCACAGCCATGAGTGACGTTGCACGTGGCTGTGATGTCATGGGGAAAATTTTTCGCTAAATTTGGTGGGAGAATTTTTCGCTAAATTTAGTGAAAACTTTTCCCGCCAAATTTAGCGGGTCAATTGGGTCACGACGTCGCAGCCCTGCGACGTTACTACTGACTAGACAACTTAAGAACAGGCGCGGGTTTATACGAGAAGGTTTTGCGAACGGGGCCTGATGATGCTATTGCGTTCCACTCTTAAAGGCGAAGCTTGAGCGTCTCCTAAGTTTTTTTTCGCCATAAATCTGTCAATTGCTGTCAATTTTTGGTGTCGCACAAAGAATCGGCGTTTATCGGGCCTTATTTTAAACATGCAGGAGATTGGAGTAGTGTTCTCCAATCTGCAGAAAACATCTAAATAACCCAAGTACTTGAAAAACGTCCATGAACGAAATAAAGGAAACGAGATAAGGGTTCTGGTTCCGTTATTGTTTAGCATGTGGTGTTGAATGCATGTGGTGGTCTCTTGCCCCTGCTTGCAGAACAAGATCTGCCACAGGGATTTGAAGCTGGAAAACATCCTGCTCGACGAGAAAGGCAACGCCAAGATTGCAGACTTCGGCCTGTCCAACGTGTACGACGAGCGGCATTTCCTCAGCACCTTCTGCGGGTCCCCCCTGTACGCCTCGCCCGAGATCGTCAAGGGGACACCTTACTACGGGCCGGAGGTGAGTCCCGCTCGTCCATTTACCGGCAGTCTCCGAATCCCGGGAAAGCGGCGCCATTGCCTTCCCTGCCTGCTGGCCGAACACACACGGATGCCAACTTACGGACAACCAGAACCTCGCAGGGCGATTGGCCGGACGCTACCTGTTGCCGTAGCAGCTGCCATTTCGGCCCTCTCAAATTTTTGTTCCGAACCGGTCTCGCATAGATTCCGATGGTATCTGTTCCACCGAAAGCATTCCTCGCCAGTTGCAGTCTTTGGCTCTCTATGCGCAGTCAGCTTATCAGTCTCGATTGTCTCCACCGATCTCTTAGTTACATTTTTCCTCGTGCATAGCTGTGGAAGCAATGCAAAGCTGCCTGCTCGTTTCATGGCCATCCAGGGACAAACCAAACAGAAAAAAAACTTCCATCGTCGGTTGTACTGTTAGAAATCATTACAAAATGACCAGTGTGTGAATGACGTAATCGATTTCAGATCTAGCAGAATCTCGGTGTTCAACGAATGTCTATAAAAAGCAACCTGTCACTGCAATCTTGAGGTGGCTCACAAGGACTGGAGAGGCCAAGGAAAACTGCTAGTCCCACGTACCTAAACGGCAATGATACAGGAACCTCGGCGCTACTTCCAGAGGATCCGGTGATTTTAGGAGCAACTGGTTAGGCATACGTGCCACTTCCCCGCGACGCACCAGTGCAAGTGGTGAAAGGTGCTTCCTCAAAGTAACGCACGGAGGAGCCTCCCTTTAAGACAAACTTCCGCAACCGAGCTGACCCAATTATGTTGACTCACACCACCATGTTGCAAGGTTAGTGAACGGTACATTTGTGTCGTCTGCTCTCTCGCCAGGTGGACTGTTGGAGTCTGGGGGTGCTCCTCTACACCCTGGTGTACGGCGCCATGCCCTTCGACGGCAGCAACTTCAAACGTCTCGTCCGACAGATTTCCGAGGCCGACTACTACGAGCCCAAGCGGAAGTCGGGTACGTCGAAATTCCATCCCGAAGCTTCTCCGTCCGTCGACGATAGACCCTTGGCCAATTTGCCCAAGCCCATTAAGGAGAATGCTGGGAACGTAGGTGCACACGCTGCACGTGTTCGCATTGCTTCAAAGTGAACGCACAAATTTTAGATAGTTTCTTCGCAACGGTTTCTGTTGCTGATGCTGGCACATACAGTGCACGTAATACCCTCGTGGCATGCTCCTTGGCACTCGAGTAATTTTTAAAAGAAAATCTACGGAGCTTTTGCAAAAAGTGCAAATTGTCTTTTCACCTTATGTCCAATTGCAGTGGACGCTACGAGCCATCCAATGTTATGTAACGCTCGCACGGCCTTGGGTTAGCTCCGATGGCTCGTAGCATCCATTGCGGCTGCACGTAAGGTGAGACGGAATAGTAGTGGCTGCTGCACCATTGTTCGAACGTGCATTAGACACGAGCGCCGAGTTGGCGTTCAACGTGGACTCGGCTCTTAACCAAACGCCGACTCCGCACCTCATTTCGGAAGCGATGTCCGGAACATGGCGCCAGCGTTCCTAGATGAAGTTACCAGTCGATAACAGGTCCGATAAGTTAGCTTTTCTAAGGAACCAAAAATGACGAGGCTCCTTTCGTTGCAGACGCTTCCCCGCTGATCCGCCGTCTGCTCACCGTGGATCCCGCCAAGCGTGCCACCGTTGTCGACATCTGCCAGGACCGCTGGGTCAACCAGGGCTTTGACCATTCCCTGCTTCAGCTGGCCGAGGACATGTCCAACCTGACCCCAGTCCGACTAGACCTCCTGCTCGCCTTGGCGCCGGTCTCGCCAACGCCGGAAGAGCCATCGGATCCTCAGGCGCAGAAGAGCGACAGCTTCGACTACACACCAGGGAAAGTCGACAACTCAACGGACTTCATCCCGGCTGCGCTCGCGGCGGAGCTGGAGGGACAGGGTGCAAAGCGTGAAGGCTCCTTCGACGGACTGGTCAAGATGTCCAGTGTGTCGCACAAGAACAAGAAGGTCAGGACGTCCGACTCTGGGTGCCAGTCTAGCGTGGGGACACAGGGTGGGCCGTTCAACCACGACGAGGACTTTGCGGAGGACGAAGACGCGAGTCCAGTCGTCGCAGAGGTTGCTCCGGAGAAAGGAGAGATGGAAGGCATTGTTGCCGCGGCATCTGGAAGTTCAGACGCGGCGGCTGCTCCAGAATCTGTGCCCGAGGCTGCCGAGTCCAGAGACATTGCGAAGCCCACGACACCGACGCCCGAACAGTCTTTGCCAGCAGAGAAGGAACCAGCGAAGGCGACGGAAGTCACGAAGCCGGAAGCATCCGACGTGGCAGAAGCCAACAAAACTAGTCCAACGTCTGAAGAGAGCCAGGCGGAGCAGGCTCCCCAAGCGGCGGTGTTGGCCAGACGGGGTTCCGGGATCCGTTGCCCTGGAAAAATTGTAATTCCAAAGTGCCTGAGCTCTCAGGGGTCCCCTACGATCAACTCGTCCTCGCCAAAGTTCAAGGACACGAAGAAGCCGCCGCTGCCGCAAAGCAAGTCGACTGCAGAGCCTCCGAAGACGCCGGAAGTCATCCAGAGCGGCGCGAGGTCTCCGGCTACTTCGGAGAAGAGGCCGGAGAAGACAGAAGCCAAGAAAACAGAACAAGATGTCTCGGTGCCTCAAAAAGACAAGAGCAAGAGCCCTTTCGATGCGACAAGGCCGGAGGAGACTGTCAAGGTCGTACGGCGAGTGAGGCCACCGCAGAAGCACGAAGTCCCCGATGGCATGGAGAAGTCGCCGTCCATAGAGAGAACAAGAGAGGTTGAAGCTCCTGGAATTCTGAGAAGAAGCACGTCTAAGCTCGGGAAATCGTTGCAAGATGACAGGGAACCGGACGAAGAGCCCGTTGAGAACGTGCTCCAGAGCACGGCCGAAATTGTGCTGACGAAGAAGGAGCGGCAAGAGGAACCTGCCTGGAAGCCTCCGGCAGAAGAGCCGGAAGAGGAGGCCCCAGAGGAAGCCCCACCGAGGCGGCCGTCCCCTGAAGGGTCTGCGGACGAACCTGCCCGCCCGGCCACGGACTCTCCCGTTCGGAGCTACAAGAAGTTCACCTTCGGCAAGGATGGGACATGCATCACGGAGAGCGGGAGGGTCTACGCGCAGCCCAAGTCCGACGGGTCCTGGACCACGGTCGAGAAGAAGACCAAGATCACGAGGCGGCCCAGCAGCGTTGCGAGCGGGGACGAAGAGCCCCCACCAGTCCAGGAGAAGCTGACGGTCCCGCGCTCCGAGAGCGGCAGTTCGTCCGAGTCGAACGACATATTCAGCGACATGTTCTCCGACTGGCGCACGTCCGGACCCTTCGGGAACCTGATGCGGATGAAAAGCTCCGTCAAGAAGCTCAACAATGGGTCGCTTTTCCGCAGCGACCCCTTCACGGCGGACCCCTTCAAGGAGCGCCGTGCCCGCGAGTGGGGACGGCGGGGCGGCGCGTCTGTCTCCAACTCGACAGAGAGGGACTCGTCCGACGAGGACGACTTCGACCTCCACTTTGACAACTCGCACCCGCAGGCCCTGTTCCAGTTCATGCGCAACATGAGTCGCGACTTCCGCAACCACTGGAAGAGCTTCCTCCCCTCTTCACCCTTTGCGCGGGCAGCCAAGGAGTCGTCGTCACGTTCGCCAAGGGAGACCCTCCTGCGGTTCGTCGTCGACAGGCCGCCCAAGCCATCCGGAAGTGAGCCTGGCACCCCGCACACCCGGGCAAGTGGAGATCCGTTCTCGAAGCGGATGTCTGGCGTCTGGGACCCTGTCGACAGGGCCTCCCTCTTCGGCACGCTCCGCCACAAGAACCGCCTGCATGAGATGGCGCCACGCCACGACCGCGGCGCATCGCTTGACCGCAGCTCGGACTTCTGGGGTGCCCACCAGGACCCCGAGGGCACGAGGCACCGTGTCGAGAAGTGGCTCCACCTGTCAGACGACGCTGCACCACGGCCCGACGATGCGCCACTGCGGAGCCAGCCCAAGTACAACCGCTCCAAGAGCGACAAGTTCAACCTTGCGGAAGACGGGCGCCCCACGTACCGCAGCGAGATCAGCGTCGACAGCACCGCGCCGACGGGCGCACAGTGTGGCCGCTCGCTTAGCGTTCATGAGCGCGGGACGCGTCCGCGGCCGCTCGTCCGAATGCAGGTGTCCATCAACAACCGGAGCAGCAACCCCAACACCCACATCGTCATCACGACACCGCCATCTTCTGCACGCACAGAGTGCGGCCTGTGGCCGCGCGACGAGTCAGCACGGACGGACGACGAGCCCAACGACTCGTCGTTGCTCGAGGCACTCCAGACACGGGGCATCCGTGGGCTCATCTCGCACCGAAACGAAGCGCGGGCGAGGGCGCGCGAGGCCAGTCCGCGGGGCGAACCTCCAGACCCGGAGCAGCAGCCGCCACCGCCCCAGTCCGACAGAGGTAAGCAGGCCCCCTCTGCCGGACCCGCCGAAGACGCATGCTGCATGGACACTAACAAAGATCTGCCGTCCTCTGGACGTGTGTATCTCCCGCCGCCGCGCCCCAAAACCATTCCGATCTCGGACGAGCGGAGGCGGCTGTCGACGCCCGCGAGTCCCTCGGGCTCCGAGCCCCGGAGTCCAGGGGAGGAGAGCGTCCAGGAGCGGATCCACCGCAAGAGCTTCTACCAACGCTTCCACGAGGATCCACGTGCAGCGGCGCGCCGGCGGTCGGCGCTCTGGGACACGGAGTACTCGGGTCTCTGGAGCCAGGACAGGGACCTTGACAACGGCGCATTCCTGCGGAAGTCGCGGAGCCTCTGGGACAACCATGTCAGGGAGCCAAGGAGTCGCTCGGCCGCACGAGTCCTCCCTAGTTCCCTGGCGCTCGGACCGCAGAACCGTCACGGGCTCTTGTGGGGTCTGGGTGTGGACGCCGGAGTGCCCGAAGGAGCCCCCGGGGTCAGAACGGCCAACCGGAGGAGTTCCAGCGACTACGACAGCTTGGAGAACGAAGGCCCGTCCTCCTAAGACGCCGACTGCCTATGGAGACGACACGTCCCGTGGACGTTGCGATATAACGGGGCATTAAGTATGTGAAGCTCAGTCTCCTCGTCGTGCAGATGACGCGAGTGATACCCCTTCAGCGATTGGAGACCTCATTTGGAACGGTTCTAGCCATCAGGAGGCCAGAAATGGCGGCGTGTATCTCAAGTAACCCACTCGCTGCCTTCTATTGTCTTTTTGTGGCATTGCACCGAAGCACCGCCGGAGGCAGCGAGCTTGCGGTCCAACTTGAAGATGTCCTCTGCCGCTGTATCTGTCTCGGATGGCTGCTTCCAGCACAAGCTTGCTTCCTTGCATCATGCTTTTGTGGCGTTGCAGCAAAGCACCACCGAAGGCAGAGAGCTTGTGGCGGAAGCGGGGGAACTCCGAGACACCCTCTGTCACGTGCCAGGAATATTTGCCCCATTCTCTGAACAAACATGTCCCTTTCGTTGAGGCGAGATATTTTATGTGAAGCCTTTCTTTCTCTAAGCCAAGGGCTTGGAGAGAGAAAACCCGATGATGCCATTCGAAAGAACATCAGTCAAATGTCTGTGCTGTTGAGGTGCAACAAATCTGTCAGCTGCTTTTATTCCTCCCCACTTGTGTGATTATCGATGGGAGCTCTTCAAACCTGCCATTGCAAATAACACTTTTGGCCCAAACAAAAACGGCCGCATCAGAGGTGCTTTAGTCGATTCGAGCGGCCCGTTTTTGACACCCTCAATGCCGACAGTGTTTTCGAGACTCGGAACCAAGCATACTAGTAATGTTTACTCGCTTTACCACACGAAAAGAGGCCCAAGACTCGGTTTCAAATGAGTCCTCGAAACGTCTCCTTACTAGGGTTGGAATACTCGTTTTTGTTTTTGTATGTGTGTCTGGACTGTGCACCCTATTTATTGTACGAGCTTCGACGATGCGCCACACGTTTCTTCCGCGAGTTGTTCAGGACTTGCAGTCGTTCGTGCTCAGCTTTTCTCAAGTTTGTTGAGCGGCGCTTATACTGGGGGCATCGGTGTTGAGGCATCGAATGTTGCGCGAGTCTTAACGTCATTGGCTTTGCCACTTGTTGCCGAGGGGACCCGTGCGTGTTAAAAGTGGGCCATGCGGCCGTGAAAGTTTATGGGAAGGGTAGAAATACGACCGACTTAAACGACACAAAGTGGCACGAGCCGTCAATGTTAAAGGAGCCCTGCAATTAATTTCAGCGTTCTGCAATCTGCGGCAATGGGCGTCTTACGGTGCTGGAGCCAAAGCACGAGCTGCGGAAATAAACAAATTGTTTTGCTCGCAAAGTGGATTTGAAAGGCTTGCAGTGTCGCCAGCCTGCTGCTAATTTGCCAGTTGCTTCACTCTCGTCATTATTGATTGCATGAGCGCTCACCAGCAACATTTGTATTTGTAAACTGTATCTGCCATGTTTGCATTTGAAACTGATATGCAATTCGCACAGCTTGAAAATGACTGCAGGGTTCCTTTTAAGATGGTTGTCGTGGCACCAAGTTATTTTGTGCGGTGTTGCAACTGTTGTACCTGGTTTCATTGAGAATGTCTCGAGAAACACGTTTGCACCCCTCGTCGGGAAGTGAAATTGACCTGAACTACTATAGGTTAGCCAATTGGTGACCACACTCCCCCTGGAACATTCGAGATGGGCTGTTTGTAACCAGGTTCAAACATTGCGCAAGTTTTTCGCTTTTTACTGTTTCCAGTGTCTCAAGCACGAGTCACTATTTTAAGTGCAATAGTGTAGTTTTTGCATGCCGGCGATAGACTATCTACAAGTGCCTTTTTTCTTCGTTAATTTAAACAATGGCTCAACCAACGTGCATATCAGAAATGTGCATTCGTCTGTGTACTTTTTAGGGCTGCTTTTCGTACAGACCAATCTACCTAATAAGGAACAAAAAATATTTATGACGCGACCACACGAATAATCCTTCCAAAGGGTTTTTTTTGGGCAAGTTTCTTATTTGTCAAGCCCTACTCCCCTTGTTATTGTTCTCAGAGAGAAAAAAGAACAAAAAAAATCTTTTACACGAGATCTTAAACGTGTTTTCTGTATAGATCTATATACCTGCTTACATAATTGAAATCGCAGAATTCACTTAGGGTTCTAGTCATGCACTGTGTATGTCGCAAAAAACAAAAAACAACAAAAAAAAAAACGAGCTTCTGTAACTCAAATTGATCCAGAACAACGCTTTTTCTTGCAACCAGTTCATTTTTTTTTTTATTGTTCCGTGTCACCACAATCTGAGCAGTCTACTTTTTGTTGCCAAGAAACAAAACAAATAAAAGCCCAGTGATTGTGATAAAGAAAAACCACACCTGTTCTCGTTCTTGCACGTCGTCTCGTTGTAATGTCCGACGCGGCAAAATTAAAGACCACACCACCCAACTCGTTCTCAAAAGGAGTCGCTGTATTTGTCGTTCTCTCAATACAGCCGTGCATGTACAAGCTTTCGAGAGACGGAAGAAAGCAACGCTCGGTCCCCAGCGGGGACCTCGTACAAAAACCCAAAAGCGCTAACACTAATCGCAAACTTCGCCCGCGAAAAGCTCGTCAAGTTTCGACACCTCTTCATGCACCGTTCGGCCGCCAAATCCTTCGCCACCAAAAATGCAGTTCCTCTTTATTCGACGCTCCTCATGACGACGCGTCGCCAACTCCTCACCTCGCCAACTGCCAAGAAAAAAAAACAATGGTAAAAATTTTAATAAAACAAAGTAAAACCACGACGAAGGGCTCTGCTTCCTCCCGAAGTTCCGTCACTGCGTGCCCTCTGCAAGAGTTGCACCGCCCCTCGACGTGGCAGCGGCACCTAGGTGACGTGGCGCACTATCTTACACTCGCGGCGAGCGCCTTGCGCGGCACAGTCTTGCTCTTGCTGTCGTTGCACGCACTTTACACATAAATACTGACGACTGCATCACCAGAAACTTCGACCGTCTCAGAAGTCGTTGAGCGCAAAGAGTACCTGGTCTTCGTCGGAGTCGGAGTCGTCGTCGCCTTCGCTCACGTCGGAGATGCTGAATTCGTCTTCGTCGTTGTCGTCTTCGTTGCCGTGGTCGCTTTCCATGTCTGGTTTTCGAACGTAGAAATGAAAGAAAGGTGACACGTTAAATGTTGCCAAATAACCTCATTAAAGGTATCATGTCACTGCAATACAGACATATTAACTGAGGCTAGAGAGATGCCGTGAGCGGAGTGTCGTACCATGGCAGGCCACATGACCCTCTTGTGTCGGGCAACGACCTCTGTTGTGCCGGAACTTAGAGAAATTGTTCTTTCGGACGTTGAAAACAGTGCACACAAAAGCAACACTGCTCCTGTGTGTGCTCCTTCTTTCTGTGGTCGTCTTTTGTGTGCACCATCCACGCCGTCTGCTAACTAGCCCCAGCTTCAGTCTTAAGAGGTAGTTATTCAACTGGAGAACATGTGGAGCTTTGCCAACATCTCCGGTCAAATCTCCAAGTGGAACTCTCATACATGACTCATAGGTGAAGCTCTCATAACCAGAAAGAACTCTCGTGGAGTCCAGAAGTCAGACTGCCATAAGTAGAAGACTCTCAAATGTGAAGCTCAAAAATCAAACATCGTAAGTGGAACTACCTAACGTTGCCAGTGTTGTAAGCCAAACCATCATAAATAGGACACTCAGGTTATGACCCTCGTAACAGACTATCATAAATGAAACTCAAAATGTGTAACTATTAAGAGGGGGGGGGATCGGTAGCAGAGTGTTTTTTTTATCACAAATGGAACACTTGTAAGTTATAACTCTCGTAAGTGAAACCACCATAGGTGGAACTCAAATGAACTCGTGAATGAATCCCTCAAAAGGATATAAGCTGCATGCGACATGCCACAGCTGCGAAATAGCAAGCAAGGTCGCACCGTGTGGATCGGGCTTCAAGCTGGCATAAGGAGAACTTTGCAAAATGCCGGCTCTGGTTCACATGCATTCAAGGTGTCTTACTTCCTGTTTAGTGGAACTATCTTGCCTGGCCTCCAAGAGTTCGCCTTTTCACTACCCGATCCTTTTATGTGCTATCTTTCTACACAATGTTTGTAGAGCTGGTTCATGCCAGAAATCCTAAATGGTACACAAGAAAACGAGGCTCTCCCAGCTGCTACACCGCACTAACCTCTGTTTGAGACGCCCTGGGAAGTGAAAAGAACCATATCTCGAGTAAACATTCAAAACTGTATTCTATTTCCTTTGAAGGACTGCTCTAACGAGGACATTAGCGCAGCACACCTACTCCTGGCTCCACCAAATTTTGTCTTTTGGTGGCTAAACTTCCTTCCCATCTGGTTAGGATACTCCATTCATCCGCACACTTCAACACGGGGAAACGGAGCTGCATTGCTTTGAGATTGGTCACAGACCCAAGTTTGCGTCACGCAACGCGAAAAGTTGAAAGATACGACGCAGCAACCCACCATCGTCGTCGTCGTCGTCATCGCTCTCTTCTTCGCCAATGTTGTCGGACTCTTCGTCGTCAGCATCCTGCGTTACAACAACGGTTTGTGTCAAAAATAAAGCTTGCGCCTACGCACAAACGAGGCAACTGGACAAGCGAGGTTTTGAGCACATTATAAAAAAAAAATGCACACATGGACAACCCAATCCGATAGGCAAGGCCTCAAACACACCACATTAATCTATTCATTACTCTTATATGCATTGAAATGGGATTGCTAACGGGCGTCAGAATATCCGAAAACACGTTAGAAATTGGTTGGTTGGCAGGAACACGCTAAAATTAGGAAAAAAAAAAGTATCGCACCGACCGTATGGAACACAACAAAAGGTGGACTAAATGAATGTACTGATTCATTGTTCACAACGGGGTATGCGTTGCAACTTCGAACTCTGCCGCCGCAGCCGCAGCTTCCGCAAAACCGCAGCCCCTCCAACTAATCGCATGGTTGGACAGAGGAATGCACTAAAACAGCGTCGCATCGGGAAAAAAAAAGAAAAAAGGTTGGCATGTTGTTCCTCACAATTCACGCTTCTGAGCAAATTTCCTGCTTTCGTAACAACTATGCATCTTAATAACTATAGGAATCAAGCATTTAAAACCATTCAACCGAAACTTATTAAAAAAAAAAAAAAAGATACATGAAGTGTTTTTTTTCCCTCTCTCCGCAGGAGGAGTAAACGAAATTGTGATGAACATCAAGTTTTCCTAAAGGAGTGCAAAGCGGAGGCGGCTGCGGCGGCAACGGCAGTGGCGGCTTCGCGGGAGGACGCTTGAAAAGGAAGGCGCGGAAACAATCCGAGACGACCGCAATGCGGTCCCGCAGCAATGACAACAGCGTCAATAAAAAAAATTAAAAAATAAAAAGAAAGACGCCGTCGTTTGACGGTGATTGTGCGAGCAAACCCACCTCGTCGTCGTCCTCTTCCCTGTGTCGACCGACCTCGTACAGACGGCAGACGCTTTCGGAGTTGCTGGTCACCGTCGCGTCCCGGGCTCCCTGAGTCTGGACAACGCATTTTGCTACTTTGAACCAATAAAGTAAATGAATACCACAGTCGCCGATATCTTATGAAATGGAAGGCGTGGCTTCGCCGTGTTCGCGCTGCTTGCCTTTTAATTCGTCCTTCGATGTTCTTGTCGACAAACGGCACGATCTCATTGGCCGTGGAACTAAAACGAAGTGCTCGGGACTCGTCAAGCCCTACGTTTTATAAGTTGTCGGCGACTGCAGTGCCACAGATAAAGTTGGGAGGCAGAGAATGTTTATTTACGAACATTTCCGAGCTCGGGAGTCGTACTGCGTGCGATGAACTCGTCTTATTTATCTGCGGTTCTGCACCGGCTGCATTCACTGCACACTGCCGTATTTGATTTACAAGTGCAGCCTGCCCAAAAACGTAGCCGGGATTACTCTGCCCCAGTTTCCTGTACCAGTGCGGGTGGGTAAATCAAACAAGTCCCATGCGTCTCCCGGCTCTATTCGCGGGATTAAGATACATTTGAGTTTGTTCTGGTGGCAAGCGTACGGCGTCTTCGGCTTTACGCGAAGTATCGAGGCCAAGTTTGCATTTTTCTGACTCGTCGCAAAGGGCTGCCGTAGCTGCCCTTAAAGGGGCGGTGCAAAGATTTTATGATTAAAAGAATTTGCATCTCGTCATTTTTACATTGTTTATCGTGTCCCAGAGGACAGAGAAAACACTTCCTTCATTAAAAATGTCGCGATTCCGCTGCATAATCGCAAGGCAAAAGTCGAGCTGTTTTCCCCACCTGCAGCCCCAAGTGGCAGCCGAAGGAACTAAGGCGGAAAGATTACGTGACCTCGCTCGGCTTTAAGCTGCAGCATAGCGCCCGCTAATGTACGGAGAGAGAGGGAGGGGAAGCGTCCTCCGAGATAGCACACGGGAAGCTACACGGCACTCCGAATGACGTCACCGGGAGTGCGGCCAGGTGTGACCCTGAAGACTGGGAGCGAGTTGAGGGGTGCCCGAAATGCCAATCTTTATCTTTTTTTTACGCAACAACTAGGACACGCAGGCGAAATCGGTTTTCTGTTCTTTACTTGGGAAGTGTCAGGGGGCAACTTCTAGAAATCTTTGACCGAAGTCCGAAAATCATTGCACCACCCCTTTAAAGGGGTACTCTGGTGATTTCTTGAGCTAGCCCACCCTATGTTCTCGGAATAACCGGCCTTGAGCCTTTACGGTAGTACGCCATTTAGTGTAAAAAAATTTGGAATAGTTATTATGCAACTGGCAAGTGAAAATGATGCCAAAACCAAGATTCAAATATGCCCGCGCTTTTCGGTGCTAAGACATCGGGGGAAGGCGGAATTGCAGGTTGAGTGGACAGTCTGAAAATAGACTATGCCGAGCACTTGTTTCGCGCTGATGCGCAAGGTGCTAAAGTGAGCTTCCAAAGCAACCATTTGACAGCATGAAACTGCTTGTGATCATTTGGAAACAATTCTACAGTCCAAAGAGTGAACCTGTGCCTGCCGGTGGCATATTTTTTTCATTGTTGCCAGCTTTTAGTTTGAAAAACACTGTGAGGACCATCGTCAACTCAACAACTTCGCAAAAAAAAAAGTTTATTTTTGCCCAGTATTTGGGTTACTATTTCAGCGGTGTATGCTGGTGTGATTGAAAACGCCAGAGTGCCCCTTTAAGGGCAGCCATGGCAACTCATGATCCCCTCTGCTGGGTGGCACGATCTCCTACGTCAGTGGTTCTCAAATGGGGGTCCGCGAACCCTTCGGGGTCCGCGAAGGCATTCTAGGGGTCCGCAAAGCCCTGGTTCATCAGTCAAGCCCAGCAATAAAAGTTTTTTTTTCTAGGTCGAGAAGAAATGTTTCAGTTTTTTGCGGCGAGTTTCCTCGTGTGCATGTCAAAAAAGAAGGTCTACTTTACATAGCCCTTACTTAAATCCATTCATTCAATTATTATTATTATATTTAACCTATACCTTCCCCCTCACCCCAAACGGGATCCTCCATCATCTCCGCCTATCCACAAGGGGTCCGCGAAACATCGATGGTTGAGAACCACTGTCCTACGTGATTGGTGGTCTCACCACGAGCTGAGCGGTTGTTACGACTCTCGGTCACAGCAGAGTCGTATATGTAGAGAGTTTGGCCATTTATTGGGAAGTATAGGAGACAAATCGGGAGGTGCAATTGGCCGAAAGCGTGCTGGGCATGTTCCAGGGTGCCTTCACAAATTCGAATGTGGCCAACCAGAAGCCGGAAATAATGCGCTGGCGGTGGTCGCGAGAAACAAAATTAATAAGCGCGTCGGGGTAACTCTTGGTGACTGAAGATATGGTGCACGTGATGTTTCAATCACGGTCATTCAAAATCATAATGGAAGAGCGCGACTTACGGGACGATCGACATAATCCGTACGCCAGACGCCGAGGGCCGGGAATCTGCCATCCGAGCAGTCACACTCTGTTCGAGCAAAACAGAGTTCGAGCAGCTCACTCGTTTCCTACATCTTTCTGCATGATCATAATCGAAACATCACGTGCACCCTATTTTCAATCATGAAGAGTTACTACATTTAACTCTTACACGCTCGTTAATACCATATACCTATGATTAAAACTGTATCTCGCTATCACTGCTAGAGGATTTTTTTCGGCTTCTGGTTGGTCAAGCCTTCTTTTTGTGTCTGGTGGATACCCTGGCTCTGCCCGTGCCTCCCATTGACCAAACTCTCTCTATATAAGGCTCTGGAACACAGGGCTGGGTGACCCGACAAGATTGTGCGAAATGACAGTGTGCAATGCCGCCGCATCACGTAAATTCAAATGGTTACTTGATCACATGACCTACGGTGATTATGTGATCGTGTAACCTATAGTGATTATACGATGATGCGACTTCTACCATTGGGGTGACAACTTTTGCAGAGACACGAGCAAATAGCAACTGCATTAACAACGTCAATCGAAGCCGCTCTGCTAGCACAAGGGTAGGGTATCGGACTGCGAAACGAGAGCTCTGCAGTTTCGTACCCGCCAAGAGACGGAGTGGCTTTCATTCGGATGCCTGGCCTCGTTGTTGCGTTTCTGTAACATTTCGCGACGCTCTACGCTAAAAACCAGCCCTAAAACACGTCCTGCATTAAAACAAGCAGTAGAGAATTAGGTCTTCCAAAGTAAAAAGGCACAGAACGGATCCTTCCCACCACCCCGAGGGCACTTGGTTGCTCCGATTCAATCGACGCCGCAGACACTGACCTCTACGACGGCAAGGAAGTAGTCGGAGTCGTCCGCCTTGAGGTCGAAGATGTTCCGCTTGATGTCGATGGTGGCTGCAAAACACACGTGCAACGCACTGTCACACCTCGCATTGCTTCGGTAGCCCTTCTAGAATGCCATGCGGCAAAATCGCTACACCCACCCGCGTCGGACGATGCCCAAAGGGTCGTTTTCACTAAATGGCCTTTTCGCCAAAGGCTATCCCGCTAAAGGGCCGCCATCACACCACAGTGTCCGGAACGTTTCCCCGACCGGCGTGTTTACCGTCCAACACTGCCTGCGCATCGAAAGTGGACCCAAAGCTGGACGTTCCGACCTTGGCAGTCGGTCATAGAAGTTCTGTCAGAAAGTACGAGCAAAAGTCGAGGGACCACATTTGAGGACGCGATGAGCACGACGGTCGCAGACACGTTCCGGACGCCCCGACGACGAGAGGTGGGTCCTAGGGCCCACCTATAGAGGAGTAGTCGGAGGCATGGAAGGTGCGGAAGGAGGAGCTGAAGAGACGCGCCGAGTCCTCGTCGTCCTCGGTGAGCACGGCCCCGTACAGGACGTCCCCGGCCCCGTTGAAGGTCACCTGGCACTGGTCCAGGGTGGGCACCGTGTGGAGCAGCCGGAACGTCCGCAGGTCCCACACCTCAGAGTTGGAGATCACCTGCGCAGGGGGGACCTCGGTTTGGCGGGCGGTTTCCTTCGAGCCTCCGAAACGGGGCTTGGGACAGGCAGACTCGCGGGCACAACACTGAAAGCTAGATGTAGAATGCGTCGTTTGCTCGCGTCGACCCATTTTCGTCCATTGCGGTTTTGCCTGTTAGGCTACCGGGGTAATTTGTCAGGGCAAGAAATATGAACGCACATTCGGCGTCAGCTGGCTCTGTGCACAGTATCGAGGTAAGTTATCAATCGGTTTCTTTTTCGCGTATTGCGGAAGTTAGAGTGATTATTCTGGCTACACTGTGTCTATGCTGGTCGTGCAAACTTCGTTGTAAAGATAACTTCATAGGTCGTCCATTGGCTGCTGCTCTTCGGGACGAGCTGTGGAGTCACGGTAAAGTTCTGTCGATATAGTTTGCCCTATGCTCGTCAAAACTGTAAAGTTTGCTTTGACGTCAGAATGTCGTCACGATAAGCTTCGACAGTTTGGGAACTCCAAGTTTGGACAGTTATCAGCAAAGACGAAGAACCGAAAGAGAAAAAGCGACCCCACAGTGAAAAAGAAAAAAATAAGACCCTATGCTAGCGTGATCAAGAATGTGTTTTTCGTAACGTGTTTCTCTCCGCTGCGTCTTCATATTTTCGCGCTGTGTAAAGACGGCGGAACTGTACTGCGTGCTCCTACCATGTCGGCAATACAATTGCACGTTCCGCAAGCACCGCGACGCCTCTGAGCTTTACGAAGACAGGTTCGTCGGAGACCACCGTTTAATGAAAGAAGCGGCGAGATGGCTATGGTGATAAGCTCCGTCCCGATCTTCAACTTGACCGAAAAATGTTACGTGTAGTAATGACTGTCGAGCAGAGGGTGTAGACTCCATTGCTGCCCGGACCAACACTCGATTTGCAAACATGTAAGCAATGAGCATGTCGAGCTGTCGACCCGAGCAGCGATCACCTTGCTTTTTACGCTTTGCCACAGGAGTTGAAGCGCGGTTGCCAGCGTCCGCCATCGTCATAAGAGGAAAACAATGGAGCAAGAACAGCACGAACCTCGAACGCCATTCCAGCGTTGCAAATAAACACCAACTATGTATTTACTATAAAATGGTATATGTTAAGTTATTTATTCGGAATATGAAGTTTTCTTAATTTCATGTGTATCTTTGTTTTGTTTCCTTCCCGAAAAAATAGCGCCACAGTTGACGCTGCACATGCTCCCCAGATTTCCCTCTGGGGGCTTCCTTGCTCCTCAAAATCTATGAAGTTTCAAGTTAAGAAGTTCTGGGAACTGTGATGCACTGTGAAGATGCCTCCCAATGAAGTTGGGTGCTCGTGAAGTTATGGCTCCTCCCCTATGGCCACGTCACGATGAACTTAGTTTATAGGTTTGATTAGCATAGATGCAGACCGTCTTTAAAAGTCAGTCTGCCCACCCCAGCCAGCCAAACCAAACACTCTAATGGTGGCCTTGCGCGGCTTTTCCGCACCAGGAAAAGCGAGGGTCTTCCAAAGTGTAGAGAAGAAAGCGGGGAATTGATTTCAAGAAGTTGGTCCTTGCACTTCACCTTCGACTCACAAAGTCGAAGGTGCTCGAAGTTAGGCGATTTCGTTTTCCTATCACCACCATTTGTGCAAAAATATTGGAGCTTTTAAGACTGTCCCTACATTGCTCAGACTCTTGAAAAGGGTCTATTCCTTTAATGCACGAATAGATATATAGCAGCTCAAATATCACTTTTTTTTAAGCTGCTCCGATAGCTCAAGACCACAAAGCGAGGGTTCATTGGTTCAACTCCTGCAAAGAGATAAAGTGATTTTTGGAAATAAATCTGGCCGTGTTATGTTTTTTGTTACAGCCTTTCACGACGTTTGAGACGTAACAACCAGCTCTAAAACGTCTTCTGCGTTAAATATCTGCCTCGTACAGAATTCAATCCCAACATTTCTACGAGACTAAAGGTGCGCTCTATCAACCGTTCTAACCATAAACTAGCCGTCAGTCTGGAGAAAAGTCTGATTACCCGCAATCACCCAAATGCGGATTCAAAAGGGTTCAGGTCAGAATATTTTGCTACTATGGCGTGTCTTTTGTACCTCTGACAGCGCTAAGAGGAAGGGCCAACAGACAGTCATTGTTAGGCTTTTAGCCAAAACATTCGTCAAACTTTCTTTTAAAAAGAAGAAAACAAAAAACATCTGCCAACACTGGGTGAAGTCGGGGTTCACCTGACCGCCAACTAACCCAAAACACAGATTTTAAAAGGCTATGTCCACACAGAGTACCAAAGGGGCTTACTTGGGCTCCGCTTTTCAGAAACCTATAAATGTCCGGAAAGGAAAACGAAACCAACCAAGGGAGGCTCAGATGCCCCGCAAAGGACTAACAACTTATTTAAAACATGGAGGGGAACCTTTTGTTGTGCAGTCTAAACGTAAGCTGTCAAATTGCGAACACCACTGCCTAGACTCGAACCCGCAAACAGTTGATGAACCGTGGGCCGGAACTCTGTCTCAAAAGTCCCTCAATTCAAGGTGTCTGGGGATACCAAAAAGAGAATGTTCCCTAGAACTCTCAAATTGTGGGGAAACCAGATTCCTTAAATTCTAGGGAACACGATTTTCACTTCTCCCTAAATTCTATAAAAAATTCCTTTTAGACCCCTCGAATTAGGATGTTTCCTAGAACTTCAAAACAGTCAAAACCAAATTCCCTAATGCCTCAAGATCCTAGGGAACACGCCTTCCCAGGTCCCTAAATTCTGGAGAACATTCCCTTTTTAGGATTCCCAGACACCCGGAATTCGGAAAAAACGTCCTTCTCTGGGACTTTCGAGGAATACGCTTTTTCGGAATGTGGGAGAGGGACGCGCACCTCGAGGCCATTCGGGTGGAAGACCCCATTGACGTGAGGGTTGAACTTGTCGAACTTGTGGAGTGGGGCGGCCGTCCGTACGTCCCAGAGCACCCCATCCGAGAGCACCAGGTCGTCGGTGGGGTCGAAGGTGGCCCGGTTGCGGGTGTAGTGGTTGGACAGGTCGGCGTCCCGCAGGGTGGACAGCAGGGCCCCCGTGGCCGTGTCGTAAACGTGGGCTGTCTCGTACTTGGTGCCCAGCACCCGGTCCAGGGACTGCTTGCTGAACTCCACGTAGTAGTCCTCGTCAAACGAAAGCCTGCGGCGGGAGTCACTGGCGCCTGCTGTCGGACTCTTCCCGTCTCTGTGCCCTCCCACCACACTGACCCAGACCGACTGGCTTTCTTTGTCTGGAATTGGCTAGCTTTTGTACGGGTCTGCGACACTGTACTAAAGGCCGCCCGTAGTCCGTTTTACCTTACGATGAACTGCAGCGAATGCTACGAGCCATTCCAGCAATGTAAATTTGTATAACATGACCCCACACCCCTCTCAAAGGTTATGTGGCGTTCACACGGGACGAATTTGGATGGCTCATAGTGTCACCCGCAGTCTGTCGTAAAGTCAAACGGGGTACAGTCTCCGACACGGAAACTAAACCCAGCCACACTACGTTTCACCCTACTACGTACCACGACGGACGCTACCAGCCGCCGGAGTTTAAGCTTAGCTCGGAGTGTGTCACGTGACCTTACAGTTTGCGGTGCGTGAAGCGCCGGATTGGGAAATGTGGCTCATAACATCCACCATGGTACGCAGCGAGATGAATCAGAGTATAGTCCTCATCACTGAATCAAAGCCTAGCTAGTCTGCTACACGAAACGAAAGCCAAGCTAGTCTGTCAAAATCCATCTAGCCAAAACCTTCCTAGTCAAACTCCACCTATATATTTATTAATTTGATAACTACCGTAATTACCCGATTCTAACGCGCACCTTTTTTCCGGAAAAATAGGCCAAAAAATCGCATGCGCGTTAGAATCAGATACGAAACCGAAACTGTCAAAACAGCGGAAATTTCGTTCCACCCATTGCCATTGCCATCTCAAGATGACGCCGAAGCTTTTTGCCATCTTTCCTTCGTGCTTTTAGCACCCATTTTGTTCCTTCTGCGTTCACGCAAGTCGTCCCACTTGCGCGCTTACTTGCGCGCAATGGCAGCAGCGGCAACGAAGGTCCACCACTTCGTGTGCTGTACAACGAGTGGCTGACGAGCGGCTCCCACTCGTTCACGACAAGCGGTCTGCTGAAGCGTGCGCCTCTCGAGACGCTCGCGGGATGGGCGCGCGAGGCGTGGCCACGATCCCTTCGGCCTTGGTTGAACGCTCGTTTAAGAAATGTGGCATAGCGAACGCGCTTGACGGCACCGAGGATGACTTGTTGTGGTCAGCGGAGAGCGACAAAGCTCTCGGAGAGCGACGAGGAGGGAGATGAGTGACTACTTCGGTAAATAAATCGCCTGTTTCTCTCGCATTCGTTGTTCTTGATCATGAAGTTCCGTGCGCGTTACAATCGGAGGTGAAAGTTTTTCTGGTTTGTTGGCCTGGAAAAACGGGTGCGCGTTAAAATCGGCGGCGCGTTAGAATCGGGTAATTACAGTACATTGTACACTGGGCATTATGGTGGAAGGGGCATAATCACATAACCTACCAAATACAACGCAAGAAAGCAAATAAGAAACACAACACAAGACAAATGGCAAACTCATGAGCACACAATTTCATTGAACTAAGAGTAAACAGAAGGATACTCAATTCATTGCCTAGCGTCCCCGTGGTGCTTAGAATGCAGATCCAAACAGTGCGTCTGCTCCGTCTCCTATTTCTGGCCAGTGACGTCACAAATGTGTAATACTGCAGCGCACCATGATCCTTGCAGTGGCACAGCACTGTAATGGAAGCATAGCAAGGTACGGCAGAACAGGCATCTGCCGTACCTTGCTATGTGGCTGGCCGGTCGGCCGAGATGTCACGATGCAAATGAAGTCGGCATCTGCTCGTCTTCTTCGCTAGCACGCCGATTACAAACGACCACCGGCCGGATCACGACGACTCATAAAATTACCGGACGACTTCTTTCGACATTTTGTTGGCCGCTAGAGAGAATTCTGATGCATACATATACGATACTAAACGCACTGGTCGGAGGTGCACTCCAAGCACCCCAGTCAAGCCTAACTAAAATGCCAAACTCCCGAAAAAAAAACTTCAGACTTAGCGCTGCCAAAGGCTCGAGCTAACCCGAATGAAACGCGATCTAACCAGAGTAAGCCTGGAAGCCCCACATGCACACACCGGCTCTCGCGTAACGCGTTGCAGGATGTGCCCTCAACTCACTTCATGTCGAAGACGTCCACAAAGCTCCACAGGGAAGACAGGGGCCTCCTCCAGGCAGACGACGTGAGCAAGAATTTTCCATCCTAAATGAAAGCCGGGCAACTTAGTGCAACTCATAACAGAGACATCAGCATCATTCACTGGTAGACTAGTATCCTCGGAGCAACTCTAGCGACAAAAAATTTGCCCCAAAGCTTCAAAAGCCACGAAATTCTCGAGCTCGTGCTCCAAGACGGCGCTTTTCAAACATTACAACAATGCAATCCACCAAAAATGTAAGATATTGTGTCACGACCCCCCACCCTGCCAGCATTTCGAGATGCCACAAGCTACTTGATTTCGGTGCACACAAAATTGATGCGGAAACTTTATTTGACAGTTGATAACAGACAGATTGAATCAGTTGGGCTAAAAAAACATTGCAAAAGAAAGAAAAAAGAAGAAAACATGCTGACAGGGATGCTCGTTTCTAATGGCTAGAGCAGGGGTGGCCAGGCTCACCCGGCCTAAGAGCCGCAAACAAAACCACAAAACTTCCAAGAGCCGCGGGGGGAAAGGGGGGAGGGGGGGGCGGCGGCGAATGGCAGTGTGGGAGTCCGTATAGATTGAATAATTTGATGTTCGAGGCAGTTTGACAAAATCTTGTATAGCATGTATGATGGGAACTAATTCTAGTGTATTGACATTGGGAGGGCTGCTATATATGGACAGCTGGTGTGAAATTAAGGGGGATTGTAGCTTGTGGTGTGTAGATTGCGATGCCGTAGTTCCCGTGGTTCCTATAACGAAACTCGAACTATTTTCAAACTATCCGAGTCAAAAGCAGTCCAACTGTACGTAAGGTAGCGGTAGCACAAGACTACCAAACCGCAACCTGTCATTCGATTTAAAACGCATTCGATTTCTCGTTTTGGGAAAGTGCTTGTGTGACCGAAAGGAATGCGAGGGAGGGGGGGTTGGGGAGGGAGCCGCGAGCCGCACTTTGACACGCGAAGAGCCACATGCGGCTCGGGAGCCGCAGCTTGGCCACCCCTGGGCTAGAGTTTGTTTTTTGCAGTACAGTTTTCCAAAACGAAGTCCGTGTTTCGACACTGCAGCCCTCAGGTTCGTATTCTTTTTTTGTTCTCGAGCTGCTTGAATTTTTTGAGACCCATCTTGGGGTCGCGACCCACAGTTTGAGGAAAACTGCTCCATGAGCTTCGTGTTTTGTGTACAAAGACACAAGACCTACCTTGGAAGGTTGGCAGTGGGTGAGTTCAGACTCGTGGCACGAGTAGGTTGCTTCTTCCTGCAAGGACAGAAGCCGGGACCTGTGTTCAGATTTCTCACCGAGATAAAAAAAAAAAGCTCAATGAACTTTGCAAAAAAAAAAAAAAATGGCTTGCCACATTGGCATTTGGTCTGGTCACCAGCTTAAAACCAAAGTCCAGCATATGTCAGTTAAACAGACAGAGTGTGACACTATTTGTGTAAAGCATTAATTGCCAGTTTATTCTTAATTGTCCTTCTGGTTGTGCGACCAAAAAAAGCACATTCCTCGAAAGGTCTGTAAAAGGATGTTTTCCCTCATTCCAAGTGTCTCCGAATCCCAAAAGGGAAGCTTCCCTAAATTTGGGGATTGTAAAAAATTATGTTCCTTAGAATCTAGGGATGTTAGAGATTTTGGTTTCCCACAATCCATGAGTTCTAGGTAACATTTCCTTTTTAAAGGGAAGGCGAAACACTTCTCTCAAAAAAGGAAATAGAGGTTGATCGCCGAATAGCTTTATCTCGTGAATGTGAATATCACGTTCATTTTCCCCGAAGATTTTCCCGAAGAAAACATGAAGTATCTCTGAGTTGTGACGTCATAGTTGTGACGTCATAAAAGGGTCTTTCGGCCGCCAAGCGCGTGTCGCACGAAGGATGCTTGCCAGGTATGTTCCCCTGCACTGGTACCAGTCGAGACATCTTTTTCTGCCCTTTTTAAAAACAGCAAGATTGCGCGTGCATAGCTCTGATAGGCACTGAAGGTGTGCGAGCAGAAATTCAGAAGAACTCCTTTTGTGACGTCACACTCTGGGAAGGAGGGCCCTTCAGCAGTACTTTGAAAACGATTTTCTGCAGCCTCTGTGCACTAAATTTGAAAAAACTTGTTTCGATTTCGTGATCTTGGAGGTCAAATGAAGACGATTGAAGTGAGTGTCCTCAAATACAAAACCGCTTTAGCTTTCCTTTAAGATCCCCAGATGTCTCGAATTGAGAACAAAGTCCTTCCTTAAGACACTTGCACTTTCACAAGACCCCATTTTGCCTGTTCAGCTGTGGCATATCTTTGCACAGTCAAAGGCAAATAGGGCAACTTGACATCGGTGATAAACAAGTTAGAAAAAAAGAACTCACCACGCCACTGTAAAGGTTGTAGACATGAAGCTCCCCAACGAGGGTTCCCAGAAGAAGGTACTGCGACTCGGCCTGCGTCAAAACATGGGTACAAAATACTTGCACACAAAACTGATGATAGTACAGACCACATTACACACTCTCACGCAATTGCTAAAATCACATAACGGCTGATGATCACATAAAACGGTTCTTAAAAAGGGTTACTGTGATCTTGCACTGTCAACGCTTTCTGACCACTTGGAAGAGAGAATTTCATTTAGGCTTCGAACACATAAGCAGTGAAACTGTGCGCCTTGCGGCACTTGTCTGCTTGTTGGTAGGTGCACCACAGGCGCACTTCGCAACTCTACCTGTATCAACCAGATCCGAGTGCCACAGCGCTGCGCGGAAATGACGTAGGGACGCCAGCACCGGTTGCTACGATAGTGCCGTGCGGCGGCCGTTTTCATCGCGCGTGTGCCCCCTGCTTTAGACATGCTGGCCCCACAGACTGCAGTTTCTCTGCGATGCAACCCTGCGCAAGGGAGGAAGTAGCTCCCCAGAAGTTTGATTTTGGTCACTGCAAGAGCGAGATGCCCTTCATCCCAGGAAGGCCCATCGCACATTCCGTGCTTACTACCAGTCTTTGTCAGCATGATCAAGCGTGCATAAATTTATTTTCTGTTTCCCTTTTGTTACCAGACGGTTTGTCTGTTAAGGCCACCGACAGAACAATAAGACATTTCTTTCGCAGGCCCAGCCTCCAGCACGCGCTCGCTGCCGCCCGTCGCGCTTTGGCCGCCCACGAACGCTCAAAGCTCACGAGACAGCGAAGTACTATCGAAGGTAGGAAGCCCGAGCTGGAGGCAGAACAGCTGAAAAGCCTCTCTGCTGTTCTCGTCCAGTCGGGATCTACAATGCAAGTTAAGAACGGGGTTCGTCTGCCACGGAGCGCCGTTTGCAGGCACAAATAAAACGAGAAAATGCCTTCACACCATCTGATAACGGTCACACTGTCTGCTAACGGAACCGGAAAAGCTTGGGTGCCTGCCACAAACTGAGTGCAGTGGCAAAGCGATGCCGGATGCAAGCTCAAATTGCGATTGTCTGCCTTTTCGCGTTGCAAATCTCGAGCTTCTCTGCCGCTGCACTCGGGTTGGCATCAACCGGTGGACAAAGGAGCATCCGGCGCAAGTGCGTTGGAGGCCGTGACACGCCTCTCGCATCCGTGTTCTAGTGAGAAGTTCTCACCGAAATACTGCCCAATCGTGGAATCGCAAACGGGTAAAAAGAAATCTCGTTGGACGCTAACGCTCGCCCAGCAGAAAGCCGCAACAGCACGTCCGGTCGGCAGCCAAGAAAACTCTTGCTCTATCCGGGAACCACAATCAGACCCCGGAGGAGCATGCAGAAACTTCTTTCTGGTTTTGTCTCATGTAGGCAGCAACGCTACAGTGGCTTAAAGGGGGTAGTGTGGTTATCGCGTAGCCTCCACCATGCATCAGGAACGGCCACTTTTTGGAAGACGATGTAGGTGGCGCTTCGATCCGCAGCTCCGTTGGGTGCCTCAATCGGCCGGCAGATAGAGGCACCCTAACACCCTTCATAACTAATATAAATACATCAAAAACAATTATTTGTTTCCAGTGAACTTCCAACGACATGATTTGTGTTTGAAGGTGAATAAAAAATGTGAAACTAGCAGACGACAGTGTAGTCGACAGCTGCGAATCGACCGGAGCTGGCCGGAGCCAAGCTGACCAAGCGGCCAAGCCGGAGCCATAGCCGGAATGACGGTGCTGCAAGTGCCAGCGCCACCCGCGGCCGTCTTCCAACGCTGTGCCGCTTCTCCGGTGTCGTTCGTTACACTACCCCCTTTAAGCCACTGTAGCAACGCTGTTTGTCTAGCAACGAACATGCAGCATATTATCACTGTTTAGTATGCCAACTCTTAAAATGAAATTGGGGCAAAACCTACCGAAAATGCACAGCACGAGTAATTGCTGGATCCATCCGGGTCTCGGAACGTTCGCACAGGACGAAACCTGTTCGCATTGGAGGGAAGCAGACGACGTTGAAGCAGTGGGGCAAAAATGTCTCCAAATAAACAGAGAGAAATGTGGTCACTAAGCTGATCTAAAAAGGCGAGGATTATACTCCCGGTTCGACCCATTCCAGAGCTGATAACCTTTTTGGGTAAGATGGGAAGCTTAATATTCATACTGTAATATCACGAGTCATCGCCCACCCCCTTGTTGCCCGAGATTCATAAAACAAAATATGGGGGGGAGGGGGGGCCATGTACTGGTAGGTAAGCAAAAAAAGTAAAAAAAAAAAAAAAAAAAGCTAAAAAAAAAAAATTATCTTTTTTTTTTTGTACATATTTTTAAAGCGTACACCACAATTCACCTCTCAATATTGCAGCAACATCACGGCCCTCGAAAACTATGTGAAACCGGGAGCACAGATGCGTGGCACACTCACCGGCTGTAGATAAACTTGCGATGGAGCTTGGCACCGTCGAATCCGCCGGCCGGTGGGAACACCTGGCTCCGCTGTAACCGCGACGGCATGCTGATGGGTGCAGAGTTCCGGTACTGTGGCTCGGGACAGCGATGAGGCCTGCACGACGCGACGTGACACGGCATTACGACGCGACACGTTTCACACGTGAGAAGGCCCTGCCGTTCTCACACTGTTGGTGAACGTAGTGTTAAACGTGCGGCAGATGCCGAATGTTCCAGCGGGTGACATGCCGAACCTTTTCTTGTATGGCAACGCTTTCTGAAAGCAAGTGTTTCTCCCCGTCCCATTGTGGGCCCTCACTGCAGCTTCAATAATGAGCAGTCCCGTTTAAATGCGTGGCAGTTCCGGCAATAGCTGCGTCACTCCGCAGCGAGGTAGTTGGGCTTCGGTGTCGCGTTCGCACATTGTGGGGTCTCGAACGACTTCGTTCTCGCGAGCACGCACCTGTCAGTTCTCCCTGCGACGAACGGCGACTTGAGCTTCGGCGCGTTTCCCACTTGGGCTGGCGCGGGTATTCACCAAGGACTACGTAATGCACAGAATCGTCTTCTAGGTGGCACTGGATGGTTGGATACGGCTGAACCCCTTTAATTGGGTTGCGGCTTGCGCCACCTAGCCGAATCTTTCGATTTCAACAATTAATTTCGAATAAATCTGGAATTAAGAACGATAAATAATTTTCTACCACGACGTCGCAGCAACTATCACCATCTAGTGGAGCGCTAGACGAGACCTATGTGCGCACGTGTGTTTATGCAATCCCCAAAACAAACACCATCAAGGCTGTGGCACAGCTCTGTGGTAATACGCACGCCTTAGAGGCGGCGGACCCAGGATAGAATCTTGAGAACACTGCGGCGGCCGGCAATCTTTTTTGAGCATTTGACGATATTGACGACAGACACCATACACCCTACTACGTTGACTACAGCGACGACGGACGTCACTTCCAGTGGAGGGAAGAGCCCTTAACAGTTACCACCATAAAAGCAGTGAGGGCGAGAAACGTCGAAGAATTATGAGGCCTGGCCACGATGGCAGTCTCGGACATGAAAGCCCTCGGTTCACGGGGGACCTACGTGAGCGAGTGTCGAAATTTAAACTCGTCTCGATCACGTAACTCGGAGATAGACAAAACGCGTAAAAATAAAAGCTGGGCCCGTACCGCGCGCGTGGAACGTCGCAGCATTGTAGCTGCGACGTCGAACGAAAATCGAGGGACCACTTTTGAGGATGCGGCAAACACAGCCGTTGGAGATGCCGTCTAGGCATCGTAATTGTGCCCACAAAACCGTCGGATCAGTAGTGGACGATGGAGCGTAGTGAGAACAGCTCTGTTGGGGGGGGGGGGGCGACACTCACACGAAGAGCTCGAAGGGGGGGCAGGCCACGACGGGGTTCTTGCAGAGGGCGTGCTGCTGCCGGAGGTACTCCTTGACGATGGTATCCAGCGAGAGGGAGTGGGGCGCGTGGGTGGGCTGGGCCTGGGCCGTCGACAGGGCCCCCGCCGCCAGCCGCTTCAGCACGGGCGACGGCTGGTAGCAGCTTGCCCCGCGCTTCTGCAACGCACCCGGCGAAGCCGCCGCGGCCACGCCCCCATTGGCCACGGCGAGCGTCGAAGCCAGTCCACCTGCAAAGACGCAGCTATGGCGTTGGGTACGCTCAGATGGATGGTTGGATGGATGTTAATGGCTATATCCTTTGTAATGGGTGGTAGCCTGCGCCACCTAACCCAAGTCTAAAAAGACAAACGTATGATTCCTCCCCCCATTCAAGGTCAATTTTTTTCCCCCCAACTATCACCAGGCAGTGCGGGATATTACGAAAAAGGCCTTAGGGGATCTTACAAAAAAAAAAACTAAGAAACATCAACCCCCGCCTCTTCCCCCGCCGAGAGAATCGCCCATTTTCCTCCGGTCAAACCTCGTCAGTGTTACCCCGTGCACTTCAAAACCAAGCGCTCTAGTGCTGCGCTCCCATTATGGCAGGTGGTACATAATGTGCCTGTCTCCTGATCGTTAGCCCTCTACATCCTCGTCCTCAAAACTCCCGTTCTTGGCTCAAACAGTAAAGAACGTCCCAGTGAATTTTCAAACACATTTTCCTTTTTCTAGTCCTGTTTTTGTGTCCTGTACATTGTAAAAGCTGATTTTTCCTGCTTCTTACTTCCCACATTTCCCTTTCTGCCTCTTTCACTCCCTTTACCACTGGAGTAGTCTGCTCAGCCCTATCCCTAGTGTGCAGGTGTTTAATTGCAAGCTTTTGCGTACGGTTGCAGAATGCAAGTTAAATGCAAGCTTTGGGAAGGCAACGACGACCAGAGTGGCCAGACTGAATTTCAGAAAAGAGTCCCAACCAATTTTTAGGGACGCAGCGGCTGTTACAGGGACTTTCCGGCTGCGTTCGCAACTCGCGCGCCCAAGCCACACGAGACGTCGTGCACCCCGATTCGCCGCCACCGCCCTTGCGGGCATGGCCACGCGACGGACAAGTATAGACACAGTGCGGAAAGAGACAGGAGAAATTGTGATTGCTCGGAGGACGGTCGAAGCACACCCACCTGACGTTGGCGTGCCTGGGAGCGCCATTGGGAGTTGCCGAGACACTATGCTCGTGTCCCCCTTGGGGGCGCTGGGGATCACGGGACCATTCTGCGGGTGAAGAACCGTCCAGATGCTTGATCACCTCAGACTCTCAAAATTGGGAGTACGTCGGGCTCGCAAAGAGGGGGATCGGTGGCCGAGCGTGTCAAGGCGAAGACCCTGGTTTCTAAAATTTCTTTCGTGTTTTTCGTCTAATTTATATTAAATTCCTATATCTAGTAAAACTTTTTGTACTAAGCACAAACCACGGTGTAAGATAATACTCTTCAGGTGAGGACAGCGCGCTCCTCGCGACGTGCCGATAACGTTCGCTTTTCACTCTCTCTCTCTCTCTCTCACTATGGTTTCAAGCGGCACCGGCAGATGACTCGTCGACCCGTGGGCACGTTATGGGCACCGTGTAAGACGCAGGGGGCAAGCAACAGTGCCCAAGACGTCTCGTGCTCCACACGTGCAGAGCTCCAGCGAGGTTTTTGCACGTGCAGAAAGACCACGACGTACCAGGGTGTCATGGCAACGAGATAATTTTTTTTTGCACTCGCACAGTTTCGTCGCTTGGCCGCCGGCGTCACTGTCAGCCACGGGCACGGTGGCCGCGGAATGATGCTGCTCTTCGGATGCCCGTCGAACGAAAGCCATGTGATCCCTCGCGCCGCACATTCAGCCCCGCCGTGTCCTCACCTAAAGAGCGTATCTTACACCGTGGCACAAACGTAACCTTACTGTTACTAGAGTTTTTGGAAAAACCTAAACATTGTCGTGAACGTTTCTGCCTTACGCAGAGTAAAATTTTTGCATTTACACACTCTGTGAAAATTTCATGTTGTGCCTATATGACACGGCAAGGTACTGTGGCACGTCTCCACTGATGGAGGCGCACCCACGACTGGTCGGAGATGCGCCACAGTTACCACGATTTACAAATTGCTAACCTTTTTAGGACGCTTTCGGCTGCCTTTTGCTGAAGGAAAAGCACCCTACGAAGCTCACTCAGCACGAAGAGCAATGCGACCGTTTTTAGGCCTAACCACTTTCACGATTTCAGTGTCCGAAAGCGGACTACAGACGACAGCGTGTTTCTTGACATCAATGCACCCGATAGGCGAAGAATGTCCGGGGCTGGGCAATTCCTCGACCCAAGCTTCGTCAAGTGTGCACGACAGTCGGTTTCAAGGTTGATCACTTCCGCAACTGCATATTTGCAGCCATTACGAGCGGCTTGGCTTGGCTTGACTTGGCCTGACCGCTTGGCGGCAAAAGAAAATTGGCTTGGTGAGTTGGATGCAATTCAAGACTTGCGGAGCCAAAAATTGGAGGTGTGTTATATTGGTACCCGTTGTAGGGGATGCGTTCATTATGCTAGTGCATTCATTATGCGAGTAAATACGGTAGCCCAGCAAAGTGAGACACCGTGCGAATATAACGTTCATAGTCCGCCAAGGACGTAACAAATAGCAACACCTCTAGCAGTGCACCTGCTTTCGCATTTAGGCGGCCACCTTTCAAGTGTGCAATCAATCTTGTACACGTACGGCGACGACTGCCAAAGGGTGAACGCATTGCAGGCCGGAGTGCATGGAGCGAATGCTTGTGCTGCAGGACCCGGCGATTGTGGATTCAATCCCTGCCCCCGTCCATTTTGATTTGGGCAAGGATTGTACCGGTGTGCGTTTGTGCATCACTACTGTGTGATGCACATTAAGGAGAAATGAAGGATGAAGAAAAAGGTTATATTGAAGAAAATGTTGTTACAAGTTTTAGGGTGTTTTAGCTGACATTGGCTCATAGAGGATTTTTGCTTTGCTTTTTTTTTATGTAAGTAATGTCGTGTGTTCTCAAACTTTCGCATTTTATCACCACCGCTAGCGTCGTATCCTCACAAAGTTTCTGCTGTCTGAGATGCATAGTTCATTCATGCGGTCCGAAAAACCCGGTTTCATTTTCTTGATCGCACTTGGTAGAATGCAACTATCAAGATCTAGTAAGAATATATATTTTTATACTTATGAAAGCCCTTTGAAAAGGATGTTTTTGCAGTTTTCTATTATTTTAAGATAAAAGAGCTGTCGCACACGTGTTTTGTTGTTCATTGCACTCAGCGGATTAAAACAAGCAACTTGGTTTATTTTACTGGGCACTTAGGCGTTGTAATGCCCCACGCGTGCGCAAGGAAAAATTCAGTTTCTGCAGCGCAATGCATTTAGAACATAAAAAACAAACTATGTATATCAAATCTAATGTCAGATTTATAAAAAAAATTATCAAGCATTATAAATTGTAAAAATTTCATTGTTATCGTAAATAATTTAAAAAATGTTTTCATTTTCTTTTGCTTGTTTGTTACCCCAACGTCAAGTTCTAGCAACCTGCGTTTTTTTGTTTTGTTTTTTTGCTTTTTTTCTCTTTCAATTTGCCCATCAGTTTCTGTCTGCCACTGACCACCTCCACCCTTCCAAACACATTTATAAAGAACCGACTGTCGCCTACCGCTGCTCCCCCAAACCTCTGATCTCTCCTAGTGAAAAGCCGTCTTCTGTCTGCCAACCCTAGATCCCGCGGAAAAAATCACCCGGTTCCACAATATGCAATGCCTCTAGATGCCTTGGCTGCAAGCATGTTGCTCCTCCTCCCCCTAGTTTGAAGCACAAAATTCCTGACAACCCTGCCTGCAAATCAATCAACATCGCTTACATAATTTTCTGCACTGCATGCCCTGACACTTTCTATATTGGCAAAACCGACTGCAAGCTCCACAAACGTTTCCGCAACCACCGCCGCCTCGTAACACTGAAGCTCACTAATAAACTAGATCCTAACCTCTCCACGCACAATTCTGACGACTTCTCCAAAAATGGACAGAGTGAATTCAAAATGCGCATCTGCGTCATCAGCTCTGGCATTATAATGTTCTTGCTCTCGCAAAAAAAAAAAAAACGCTCAATCGTTAACCTTTGCACTGAACTCCATAACGGCTGGAACGATAAGACTCATTTTCGGATACTAATACTTCCACTCTATCCTCTAAAGTCAACATCCTCTTCCACTTTCCTTCAGTCTTAACCTTCACGGTTTTCTTCCCGGCCCCTGTCTCTACTTCCAGTTGTCGTTTCGTCGTTGGGTCGTCCTCGTTTTGTTTTGCTCGTTCGTTATTCTGGCGTCGCATTCCAAAAACCCTCACATTTTTTTTTCTTATTTATAACAGTTTTTGTCTTTTTATCTGGTAATTGATTGCTGCTGTGGACATTTTTTATTTTTTTTTATTTTTGTGTTGTAGCAGTTTCTAGGGTTCTCTTAGCATTTGCATAGTCTGACGAAGGGCGTGAGGCATGCACCCAAAACGCCGCTTATTTTTCTTTCCCCTTCCTTTTGCACGTCTTATCTCTCACACTTTTAGTTTTGTGCCAATTTTTTTGTGCCGGCAGTATACCACTTTTGCAGCCATACTGCACTGGCTAGATTTCTCACCCAGAGCCGAGACACTAGATACCCATGGGGGCTGACTAACTTCCAGCTGTCTAAACTTATACAAACAACACAGTTATTAGGCTCACGAAGGCAATTTGTACTCTGCCGTTTGTTTTCAAGGTCATTGATTTGCCTCAAAACTGGCACAACACACATGATTTGACTTATAACTAGTAACTTAGATTTCTCTTCAAAAGAATTTTTCTTTTTTTCAAACTCGCTAATTTTTTATTTTCAGCCCTCACCATTTTTTTAAACTGAGAACCTGTACCGGTAATGCTGAAGCAGTGGTGCCAGCAGCTGGTATGGGTTTGCTGTTTGGGCGATAGAGCATATTCCCGAGTAATTATAAAAAGTTTCAAGGTATGAAACAAATGCCACAAAAGCTCGCTCCAACTCTCGCGCCAAAAGCAGCAAAAAAATAAAAAAGTCACACATTCTTGTCTTTTAGATTGCTTGCTTGTGCCTGCCATTATTAATGTACGAACACGAATGCGGCAGGAAGCGTGCCGCCCCATCGCCGAAGCAACTGCGACCTGCACCGCCCTTTCCCGAAGCGGAGGGGAGCTCACCCTGTGAAGCGTGCTCGCCTGCATGCCTGCACCCTTGTCCGCCCCCAGGACGGGGGACCCCAGCGATGCGGCGCCCAGAGACCCTGAACGCAAGGGACGGACCTGCGAGAACGAAGGGGCGACACCGAAGCTTGCGGAGATTCCTTGGGAAAGGCGACGCGACAAGTGTACAAGGACAACACTCAAACTCATCTATTTGTCTCTCTATAGTCGGTTACAAGTCAAAAAGGTAGGAGAAGCTCCTCCCACAAGTGTGATGCGCCCGTTTCAAATCTCTCCGCAGTCGAAAGAAGAGTTCACTGGAAAAGCTCCTTGTTCCGCTTCAATGGATTCCCACTTGTCTCCGATCTCACTTTTTAAGAAAGCGACCTTTGTATTCATCGGAGAGGGAACAGAGCCCCTGAAAGCAGCCTTTGTATTCATCGGGGGGAAGCTAATCCCCGAAAGTCGTATTTGTTTCCGTCGGTGGGGGAGAACTCTAATCTTCCTCTCGTGGCTTCCACAATGCTAAGTCAAAGTCGAAAGATAAAGCAAATATGTACAGAAGGGCAAGACCCTCCTCGCGCGTTGGCCGCGACGTCACGGAAACGGTGGGACGCTATTGGATGCGGAGGTGGCGGAGGGATATCCGATTCCCTTTGAGGGGCATTTGCCGCTACCTTCTTAACCTGTAACTTACTATAGTCGCAACACTGAAAAAATGGCAGGGCACGTCCTTCAAACGCCTGGCTGCCGGCATACACTATGTGCCCTGTGTTGCGCCTTGGCTGTTGAAGCGTCGCCAGAAGTAGGAAACTCACGCAGGAGGCGCGACAACCAAAGCTCCTCCCTGCCATTTTCACCTTGCCAGCAACTGTGATGAATGCATTTTTCGGAAAAAAATGAAGCGCTACCATTCTTCGATGTACAATGGGATCATGTCCTAAAATAAGCTTTCTCCGATAAACAAGTAATTTTAACGGTAATATCTACCATCATGTCCCGAGAGAAAGTCAACATAAGATCGAGAGAAAATCTGGTGTTACAACTTTCGGTGTGCAATCGAGAAAAGTTGAAAAAAAAAATGCTAGCTCTAGGTCATGCGGTCCTGCCAAACTTGTCATTGTGGCGAGGGGACGGCAACAAAGCAAATATGACTGTACTTCCCGGTAAAAAATGTTAGCTTACATCCCGCCATAGCTAACCGGCCACACTCACGTCGAAGCCATCGTTGATTCCAACACTACGATTACTAGAAGTGGGCTACCTTTCTACGTTTAGAAAATATGGCGAATCGAGCCAAAAACAGGGGGTGGATTATCTTTCGGAGGCAGGGGATATTACGGGCAAGTTGCAAGACACGCTGCGAGTCGGGAGAGACTCCGAAACATTCTTCCATCTTTGGACGTCAACCTCGAAGCGCAAGCGCTTCCCGCGGGGGTCAGGCCGTGAGGCGGAGCCAGGACGGGGGAGGGGCAACCCAGAAGGCCACTCACGGTGCGGGGCGTGCACGACGTGGGCGAGGACCACTGCGGCTGGGCGGAGGTGCCGCAGGGAACGCGGGACGGGAGTCCCGCCTCCTTCTGCAGGGTGGCCGCCGCATCCGTCAACCCTGCAAAGCGCACGACGCCAGATACGCGCGGGCGTGAACGTCGCGATGCTGGGACGCAGCAGACAAGTTTTCGAAGCACCTCTTGAAGCGGCGTACAGAACTGTCAAGGCTACTGGCGCGAATCTGTGACCACGGCTGCAATCGCCGCGGTGACGAGAACGACTGGCGTCTCTTTCGAATGCTGGCACGCACTCGTCATGGCCGCGTGAGCGCCCTCGAGGTCCATGAGACGCCAAAGGGTTATTTATCCAAGGTGGGGAGTTCAAACAAGAGGTCGAGCGACTGAAGCTCCTCATCGTTTTCCTAGTGACGGCAACCATGGATGACGTCATGCGCTCGCACCAGTAGCTTCGACGGTGTTGTTTGCCACGTAGGAAATGGAGTACGCAGGCTGCGAAACTTGTGTAACTGCACCGGGACTCCTCACATATGTCTCGTGCTGAAACCTACATCCCTTAGCAAAACGTCTGCTTCCATTCCGGCATTCTTGAGACTTTTGTTTCGTATTATTTGGTTTATTTGAACACACTCGCAGCTATGAAGCCGGAGCGAGAGGGCAAGCTCTGTGACTGACAAGGTGCATTCAAACACCTGATATGCTTTCAACGAGGGTAGACGCCTTCGTAATCTTGAAGACACTTGTAGAAAAACGTCCATTAGCCTAAATCTTCTAAAAAAAAAAAATTTCCCCCTTTTTTTGCACAAAGCAATGGGGAGTTGCAAATTTGTTCTTTTTTTTTTATGTAGCAGTTATTCAAATATTCGTGTGTACCGGTATTTTATGTACTGTAGCTCATTTGTTAGACCTTCAAACTCGTGTAGTACTGTAATGCACATAGTGAAATACTACCTGAACAATCTCTAGTTGAATGAACTATTCAGATGAACAATCTTTTATAAATCTCCTGGAAAATTTTAATACATTCAGTTGAGTGAACTTTTGCTTAGCCAAATTTTTGGGTTTTCTCAAAGTTTGATCAATGGTATTTCACCGCAATTCCTCGATTATCGACGTCTCTGACCGACGTTACAAAAAAAAAAAACATACGACTCGTAGTAGGTGAAACAACTCTATATTTTAGTTTCTCAACTTTAATAACAAACCCTGCAAGGGCAACATCCTGTGATAAGCAAATCCAGATGTAATAAGGCCCAGCAACACCTATTTCCTGCCTCAGCGGACGCAGCTGAATCGGGCGTCTTTTCAACAGACCCGAAGACAGGCTCACCTTTGTTCAGCAAATGTTGGTAGATGAGATGAAGCAGGTCCTTCTCCCTGTAGCTGATTTTCGTCTGGGCGACCACCTCCGACTAGAAGGCAACACCGAGTCGAACCATCGGTCAAAGATCATGGCACAAACCAACGTTGCCAGTCCCACCAGAGCCAACAAATTATAGAACATGGGAAGATTATTCCTTTCATAGGCAAAGGCCCCAAAGTTAAAGGACAACATCAGTCAAACATAAGAAGAAGCAGAAGACCACAAGTTAACTCCCTTCGTGCATTTGCAAAAACTAACGTACCTACAAGGCATCCCTGACGGCGCGTCGACCTTCTGCGATGTAGCGGGTGGTTTCAAAGCACTCTGACGCGATTGCACTCGGACGCGAATGCGCGAGCCGACATTAAAACATGCAAAGCGAGGCGCGTAGGAACGTTTCTCGCTTTGCACGAGCTCACTGGCACTGGCGAGACTCGAGTATGCTCGCACGTGGCGCTCCCGACCGAGAAGCTTCTTTGTCGCCGCGCGATTTCGAGAACGAAAGTGGACGTTTTCTTTCGGTCTGTCCTTCACAAAAGTCGACGACAAAGTCACGGGGGACGTGTCGTTGCCGTCGTCGCCGTCCCCGATATTTCGTCTTTGAGGCTCGCGATGCCTGCGGCGACGACACCTCAATGCGGCTCGCACCGCGGACACAAGAACTGCGCGAGCGTTTATTAGGGCTCGTGACAACTGACGCCTCGATGCGCGGTCGGGCGGTGGCTCGTGCCCGAAGGCCGCGACGACGGGAATGGCCGGACCTTAACAATGTGTACCACTCGCCGCGGGCCGTGCCTTTGCCTCTTTTGGCTCCGATAAACGTTGATGGCATATGCTGTATTCGTTGTAATCTGCATTGTTGTTTGTATTTATATGTAATCTGCGTTGTTACTAACAAGTGCACCAATGTGTAGGCCTCGGCCGTTATTGCCCACTCAAAAGAAACAAGTACGATACGATACAATAATCGGCTCCAGGTCAAGTGACAACCTGTTCTGACTGTAAGTTAAGGGAGTGAACATTGCCATTTTTTTTTAAACTTCTTCTGCAACAGCATTTATGTGAAGAAAGAAACTAATGCCTCTCATGGGATAGGAACGTCAAGAAGTAATTCGTAGTGGTATTCGACGAAAATACAAAAAACTGTTTTATTGCAAAAAAGTAGAATTTGAAAAATGCCATATTCACATCCGCCAACATCTAGACCTACAGAGTATTCCAAGAGAGTCATATTTTTACACTGCATAGTTCTTTTTTTTTTTTTTTTTTTTTAAATATTTTCAGCCTTTTGGTGCCAGAGAAAAGGTAGAGGGTTGAACACTTTCAGCCCGTTTTTCTCAGTTTCACTTTTTGGCATGAATGTCACTGAAAATCTATTGTTTCAGCATGAAACTATCGAGAGAACTAATTTTTGCGGCTTATATACCAAAATTTTATGGAGCCGGTTACTATGAACTTCGATTTTGCAATTTAATGTTTCTTTATTATGAAAACTTGAAATTTGCAAAACTTGTTAAATGTGAAAATAACTATTTTTAGGGGCGAAGCTCCTTAGGGGCTAGCCATGTCCGTATGTCCGTCCGATGTCCGGCTTTGGGTGCTGAGCACGTCCTCCCGTGCTCGTGTAGGGAAAAAAAAAAACTGCATCTCCACGTGGTGAATGATGTTGATTGGGCGAAGCTCTGGTGGTGCTTGTCTGCGTAGACGGTGAGCCGCAGCATGCCGAGCCTTTTTTTCGTTTTCATTCATGTCAGAAAGAGAATCTGTGGTATAGAACGTGGTTATATATGCACTTGAGCATTTGACCGTAGCGTGACATGGATGAAAACAAACGAAAGGCTCGGCATGCTGCGGCTCAGTGTCTACACGGACAAGCACCACCAGAGCTTCGCCCAATCAACATCATTCACCACGTGCAATGCGGTTGTTTTTTCATTATATTTTTAACTGAAAAATGCACATTTTGCAGAATTTCTTTGCATAGTAACCGGCAACAGGTATTCTACCAGGAATATATGTGGTTATTAACATCACTTCTCAACGATATTTATCGAGCAGATTCCATGCAAAGCTAAGCTTTGCTTCGTTCTGGGGCTATAGTACTTCATAAAATTCATTCACAGGACTGACACTTTGCATGCTTTCCTCCTCTATGGCTACAAACACCACCTGCAAATTTCACGTCGATTGAGAGAGCGGTCCTAAATTTGACATTCCCAGGTAGCGGTCCTCCCTTAAAGATCGACGTACACTTCGCACTTTCCGTTTTTGCCCGTCTCCTCCTTTCGTACAAACTCTCCCCTTTTTAACTCGCCCCAACTCGGCCCAGCTCGCAGTTCAGGAGAGGGGGACGCCAAGAGGATCATCTTCCCTGCAGGAAACCAAGTCTGTTTGTCGGCCTTTATAGCCGCGTCCCACTAGAGCGACAGACAGCAACAAACGACAACGACACACGACAACGAGCGACAGACGACACCGACAGACAGCCTGTTTGTCGGAGTCCGCCGTCCCACCTGGCGGACACGACGCAGAACACGGGGGCAAGAAAACTTGTTTCCTAGTGGGACTGGAGTTGTCAACAAAACACTTCAAAATACGCAGACAAACAGAGTCTGGCGACGCGGTTTTCGTGTTTTGCTCTTTGGGCATAAAACGCGCCGACAAACACGGTGAAAGTGGAGACGATTACTTTATTTCTTGATTAAAGCTCTCGCTTCTCTTCATTTGCCGTTGGCGACTTTCCGTAAACAGTCTTAACAATCGACCCCAAACTTTTTCCGAACTAGAAATATCCGAATCGTTCCGTTTTTGGGCCGTTCGAGGCATTCTAGGTGAGCGCCACGGAGTTTCACGCTGATCTTGAGGATGTTTATAGCTTCACATTCGAATGATCAGAAGCGGGCGCTCTATGATGGACAATACGGCATCCCGATTATCACAGAACGTGATGACAAATCTCTCGTCAGCCGGAATGGCTTGCCGCGGAACGTCGTGTCCTACTTCGTGGTGAGCGGTCTTACTTTGGTCAGTCCTCGCACATGGGTGTATCCATCCTGATGCAGGGCCGTAGACTTCGGCGTCTTGAAGCACCACCTCGCGCACCAAGTTTTCGTGAGCAAAACCAGCCACGGCCCACAGCAAAATCCCTTTCGCAATCGCAACACGACCGCCCGGCGCCAGCCAGCCATACCGCGCCCGCAACCACTACGTGCAATCGAGGGACCGGAACTGCGGGGCCGGGAACGAGGAGAGGCCGCCAAGGGCATCTCGTTCCGGGAGGAAGGGTAGAAGGGTGGGGAGGGAGGGAGGAAGGCAACAGAAGGCATAAACGGGCGAGGAGGATAAGTTTGTCTCCGAAAGATGTTCCCCAGTGGGACTGCTTGCTGTGCTTCAAGTCCAACGACAGACAAGAACTCGTCCGTCATCGATCGTTTGTCGGCGCTTGTCGGCGATTGTCGCGGGTGTCGGTCGTTGCAGTGGGACAGCATCGGCGACACGGAACTTTGTGGTGTCGTCGGACAAAAACCGGTGTTTGTCGCTCTAGTGGGACGAGGCTATTAGGGGTAACTTTCGCAGCTCTGGCAGGTGCCAGAGTTTGTAGGCATTAACGAGAGGCCACTCTCCCTGATGAGACGCACCTTGTTGATCTTGGCCAAGGACGAGTCCATGCCCGGGTTGACGGGGGACCCCGTGACCCTCTCCAGCAGCTCCATGCAGTAGCGACAGAACTTGGCGTGCTCCTGCCACTTGTCTTGCAGCACGGGCTCGCGCATCAGCACTGTCAGGCAGACGGGGTCGCGGGTCAGAGGACAGCAACTCTATTATGCTTTGGGAAACGCCCACGACTGAACAGAGGAAAGCCACTCTATTATGCTTTGTGAAAAGCACAAGACTGAACTGAGACCAAAGCGAAAAAAAAAAAAAAAACTGCAGACACTGCTACCGTGGCCGCGATTCTATTTAGTAGGATTTTATGGTTGTTAGAGTTTGACTTTGAACGAAAACCACATTCCCCCATTAGAAGAAAAATATACAATTTAGCAGATGGCCTAACAGCTAAAAGAAAATAAATTTCTTCATCCTCATCAGCCATGATGACAATCCCATGTGTAGTACGTAACTACAGCCGTAACATCTTTCTTCCCTGGAAAGCAAATGTCTCGTTTAAAAATTGGCTGCATGTTTGGTCATTCTACCAGATGCGTTTAAATGTGGTAGCTTTACAGGGTGGGTGGTGACCTTAGCTCCGGTGGCGACTAGGTCAGGACGAATCTTAGTCTTTCGGTGCATGGGGTGGATGGTACCCTTAGTACAGGTGGTGCCTAGGGCAGGGTTTAGTATGGAAACAGATAATGTCACACCATCGTCTCTTTCTGACGCTGCGTGCGCTTCCCTTCAGCCCCTCCCGGATGCAAACCCTTTGCAGTGAATTTTTTGTTTCACCAAGAGAGGGGAAGTGTGCTTTCCTGCTTTTTCCACTCCTCATTCCGTGCACTCTTTCTACACTGCTTGTTTTTGCTCCTTTTTTTCTTGCCCTTTCCACCCTTCTTTGCTCCACATGCTTTCTCACACCACATGCTTCTGCTCCTCCCATTCCTGCATGCTTGGTTCACAGCTCAGTCAGCAGCACACTCGGCTTCCACACCGGTGACCGAGATTCAATCCTTGGTACCGGTTGCCATTTGTTTTAAGATTGTTTAGCGGTTACAGACTGACTGACCTACAGATATTGTGCTTATGCAGCTCCTGAGGTTCGTTGGCCCTGTAACGCTACTGCTTTAAAAGTTGGTTCTTCAATGTTCTTTTAATTGAAGTGGAAAAAAAATCATTGCTTCTGTACACTTGAAACGTATGTCCAATGTTTCAAAGTCAACCGACAGTTTATGTTTCGAAATTTATCAGCCCCATGAGCATGCAAACCATTACAGATCTCTGATACTTAAAAACATTTTAGTGTTATTATCAGGTAGAAGCCGACGTCCAACACTGCATTTAAGTATCTGAAACAGACAATGAAAGGTCCCCAAAACTCTGCCCAACGTCCTCGAAGAATTTCAGAAAGGTTATATCGAAGATGTTTTTAATCGGCTCAAAACTGTGTGCAAGTCTACAAACACTAAGAGTTATAAAAAAACTAACTTGTAGGGGTGTGCGAATACCGAATAGTAGTTCTCGAATCGAATACCGAATCGAATCAAGAAAAAAAAGCCGAATATCGAATCGAATATCGAATAGTGATTTTATTTGTAGGAATTTCTCAAAGTGTGCTGCGAATGAGACTATATATGTGCAGAGTATGCGCCTGGTGTAGAATATGCATCTTGTACAGAAAAATAGCAAAAATGCTAAAAAGTTCTGGTGAAAAAAAAAAAAAAAAGCAGTTGCTGTTGGGCGTTGGGCACTAAAGATCCAATTTTATGGCGCAAACATAATCTATCTACCCTAAACGTCACACACAGAAAAGAAAAACAAGAAAAGTTACAGCCACGCGTGCCTCTTTTTTTTTTTTTTTTTTTTTCTCTTTAACACCGCGACTTTTTTTTATATATATATATTTGTGTATCTCAGAAAAGGGGCATTTTGCGATATTTGGTCTCCATTTTAAGGAAGAAAAAGGACACCGGGGATTTTATTTCCCATAAATAAACATATAGGTGTTAAATCTGAGTAAACAGGCTTAAACAATATAATCTGAAGCAAGAAAACAAAACGTGGTTAGGTGGCGCAAGTCACCGTCCGACTGCCTCTATGCATCCATTTTTCCGTCGTATCTCCCCTGTTTTAGAGAGCCTTGATTTAAAAGAGGAAGCAAGCGAAACTGAAATTACGGAGACGGCTCCAGCGCAGATTGGTCGTAAGTGCGCATGTGTTGTGTTGTCGCGTGGAAAGAGGGCGTGCAAACAAAAGAGCGACGACGCCTGCCCTGCTTGCCCGATCCCGATCCCGATCGACGCTTTCGTCTTTTCGTCACCTTCTCGCAGTTCAAAATTCAAGCGCGGCTATCGAACGGTTGGAAACCCTCTCAAATCTAGGCACACTATTTTTCCGTTCCGTTTCGTTCCGAATCGGAAATTGCGGCTTTCGGCGCTTGCGGTTCCAAGAGAACGACGGCTGGTTTCATCGGCGTGGTTAACGTAGTTTTCTTTGTGTGATCGTGCAGTCGCCGATTTCTGTGAATGCGGCAAGTGTGTTCTACATCGGCGCTTCAATTTGAAACGAGGGGCTTTACTCGTCAAAAGAATTAGGCATGGCGCGGAATTCCGGCTTCTCTGTTTCGGTTGTGATTCAATGGAAGATTGTGTCACGATCGTGAGTAAATCTGCGTGCTATAAAGTTCGTGGCGTTCGTTACTTTTCTTTTTTCTAACCTGTGCGTTAGATTTTTGTGGAATGGTAGGACCAAGAGGTGTTTCTCGCATGGTCTGTCTAATATCACGGCGCTTACATCGGGAGAAAAAACGGCTTTTTTGTCAGCTCCGCGCCGACCGCGCGTCTTTGGCCGAATATATCGAATATTCGAGTGACCGAATACTAGGAATTCGATTCGCGAATCGAATTATTCGGGATCTTTCTATTCGATTCGAATTCGTATATTCGAGTATTCGCACACCCCTAAAAAAAAGGCAAAAAAGTGGCTGCAGAAAAAGTTATTGTTGGTTGTCTATGAATTGCGATAGCCTTCGTCATGTTTATCTCCTTTTGTTACGAGGCCATGGACAATGCCAAGGAAGTCTAGGACGACGTTAAGAATGACGTCTATGATGACTTCAAGAATGTCGAGGACGACTTCTAGGACAACCTTCAGGGTCGCCTCAGGGACCATCTCTAGGACGATGTCCTAGTGGATGAGGACAAAGATGACATCTAGAACGACTTCAAGGATGACAACAAAGACAACCTCTAGGGTGACCTCAAGGACGACCTCTAGGACAACATCTGGGGCAACCTTTCAGACGATGTCAAGATCGTCAGGTCCTTCAAAGAGGCTGCAAACGCGCAGTGGCACAAATGTGTGCCACTGCACGGAAGTGTGGCACAACGGGGGCAAGCACAGTGAGCTGAAATGGTCTATTGTGCATACCTACTGCACATTAGGAGGCCAGAAAGGTCCAGAAAATCAGGGGGGGAAGGGTGATAAGAATGCTTTTGCGTTAAAAACAGGGCAAAACAGAAGATGAAAGGAGTGGCTGCTCACCCTGCAGCTGACCGCCTGTGAACAGCGGCAGCTTGCTGATGATCTGCTTCACCGTACTGCACCGCGCCAGCCCACAAAGAGCCTGACAAAAGAAAAGGGCACATTCAAAGATGTGTCAACTAAACTCCGTCCATTCCTAGGTTGGCAGTGCAACGGAAGGGCATGTTCTCATTGGACCAGTCATACATTCTATCAGTTGCCACATGATCACGCTCTTACACATAGCCGCGCGCACAGAGCGGGGTCGGGTGATAAGACAGGCATTTGATTGGTCCAGTCAGTGTTTAGCTCTCACTGCATTGCCAGCCTGGGGGTGAACAAAGTATGAGCTACGACTGGGCACCTGACATCACTCTAAAACTCCCGCTTCCTAAACCGGATATATTTTGTCAATATCTGTCGATTCCTACACCATCCCAATTGAGGGGCTCTATGCGGGCGCACAGAAGTGCACATTTAGAAAATAAACAACTGCAAAACGACAATGCAGTTCGTTCCGAACTTGGCCATGCAGTGAGGCAACTTGTTATTCCATTCATTGTATTTCATTGTAGAGAGAAAATTTTAACCAGTAGTATAGGATACAACTAGTGACCCAGGATTTGCAACGTGCATCCTGCAGTCGCAGGTATAGACGATTCCACTGAAAGAGCTTCTGGCAAGTGCCATCTTAAGTCTGTGCGTACGGCATGTGCTTTGCTTGCATTTCAAAGCAACGAACATGTGCATGCTGATCTGTGGGATGCACATTGGAACTGTCTATAGACAAATGCACACCACTACAACGTCCAAGCCTACTCCCGCACAAGTAGAAAATCAGCTTGTGACTTCGGGGGGTTTGTGATCCAAGTCTACCGTAATATCCCGAGTCATCACCCATCCCAGAGTCATCGCCCACAGCATGTTTTGGGCGAATATCAATTTTAAAAAAAACACAGTAATCGCCCACCCCTACAAATATTATTTTTTTGCTAACGAAGAGAACATTTTGGTCTTAGGAACAGACGTTTGCACTGTATGCCGATCGGCGGTGTTCATCACGGGCAAGCAAGCAAGAGACTATGTGATAGTATGATGTTCTTTCATGAACATTTCTTGTATAAAACAATGAAACTAATTCGAAATGAGAGTTTAATATATCTTTTGTGCAGCCGCGTTAGATACGTACAGAAAAGTGGGCATTTTTTATAGCTTCTTCTAAACTTATTGTGCTTACCCACCCAAGACATGGGCCCACCCCACTTTTTTATGAATTTCAGGCGGCAGGTGGGTGGGGGACGACTCAGGATATTACGGTATATCAAATGGGACGCTCTACGCTACATGTTCGACGGGTAAAATGAGACTGAAATTTACTTCGGCGTTTTTGTAAAACCAACGAGTGCTCACCTTGCAGGCAAGAGCTCTCATCGAGTCCGCATCCGTGATGGGACTCTTCACAGTCAGCAGGTTCAGCAGCACCTGAACGAGATGGCGCAAAAGTCATTCCCCGGCAGAATAAGGAATGGGCAAAATGCGGTGGACGGACATTTTCACAAACATATGCCTTTACCAAACTGCAGACTTCTTTTTTTTTTTTACATTGATGGTTTGCTGGATGACCCAGACACACCGTACATATCTCGCTCAATCCAGGTTCAAACTAGTTGCATGCAGTACAGGCAAATGCAATGCCAGGAGAGAGGAGAAAGAATAAGCACAATTAAGGCTGGGGAGCTGGGGAAAAGAGAAACCTCCCCTTCTCTCTAATGTTAATAGTGCTTTTTTTTTTTCTCCTCTGGCCCCCGTTGCCCTCCTCTTTCACCCCGCCTTCCTAGTGCTTGCCCTTTCTCTCTTCACCTGGCACTGCCTTCGCCTGCACTGCACACAACTAGTGACATGGAGTATAGCAGTTAAAAAAAATTACTGTCTAGTTACTAAAAATGGGCTGCATGCTTGGTCATTCCGCCAAATGCATTTAAAGGGACCATGAAGGCAATTTAATTCTTTTTTAAAAAGAAGGTGTTTTCGGAAGCATTGGGGTCCTGGCATGCCACACAATGTTTTCTAGAACGTTGTGACTCTTATTTCTGTACCTGCAAATAAATTTGCGAAACCGAAACAAACATTCCGATTTCTTCCCTTTTTCGCCTCTGGAAAGAGAAGTGACGTCAGGGAACACTGTCGGCATCGGTAGGATTTAGTGCACACTCAGTGTGATTCCCGTGGTTCGCTCTAGTGCACGGCGGTCTGTGAAGAAAACCTGGAAGAAACGGACGACAACACCGCGCTCGCAAACGAGTTATAGCTCCCGTTCAGCGACCTCACGCCGACTGAACGGGAGATGCTGCTAAGGACGCAGAACTCTGGATTGGCGCTTTACGAGGGCGCCCTAGACCTACTCCTCGATCGCCGCCTCCAGAGCGACTCCCTGCCCCACTTTTACCCAGACTCCAGCTGACGTGAAGGTGCTGCTCAAAGTCTTCTGGTCGGAAATGCAACGAACAAATCCTGACACCGCTGTCCACAACTCTACGCAAGACGACGGTGCGCAACCAAATGCTGCGCATTGCTGCATCGGTCGGCCGTTTATGCAAACTAACGTCGCCCGATCGACCGCACGTCTTTAGCCGACCTTTCGCACAACCTACTGCTGCACATAAACGCGGCATGATTGGTGAAACACCAGCTCGCAAGGCGAACACGAGACAACGCACGAAACCAAAACCAAAAGTCCGCGGCCCCTGGCGCTCATACCTTTTTCTTTTTTTGTCCATGGTTGCTCGATGGTTCTTACGCGCCCGAGGTAGCAGTGCGGGATGCGTTCTACCAGTGACAAATGGAGGGATCGCTTCAGATTATGCTTTTATACACGGTATGAAACCTATTAATTCCCAACTACAACTTCAAAAGACTATCCAACGTTCAAATAAAAATTTTTCATCACATCTCACTACCGAAATTGAAACCAAGAGCGCGTCTATCGTTTGAACCCATCGCCAGACGAGGTGCCCGTTGTCGTCACGCTTCAACGCAGTTTAGTTCACCTTTCTGCCGCCGCCTCGGTGGGGTCTCAGGTATCGTTCCCAGCGCTATTATTACCGCGCCTGTTTGCTCGATTGGTGCGGCACCCAAACTTCTGTTCGGGCTAGAACTTGGTCAACAGTATCTGAGACGTGCCTGCTATCCATTTCAATCGTCGAATAAAACTTTGAAACTGCCTTCATGGTCCCTTTAAAGGGGGACACTACCCAGAAAAACAATATCACTTTCTGCAAAAAAAAAAAAAAATGACCGCATCTCCACGAGGTGAATGATGTTGATTGGGGTGAAGGTGGTGCTGATGATACTGATTTTGTTCATAGGTAGTGCTGATGGTGCTGATTCTTTTTTTTTTATTGCTCATAGGTAGTGCTCAGTTCCGGGTTGCGTTTCGACTTCATTATTACAGCTTTATGGTCGGTGAAATGCAGAGCCAGTGGTTCTTCTAGCGGATCCATCCTGAAGTTCTCAAAGACTAGGTCTATGCATGCCAGCATCCCCAGCTCTTGAGTTACTACCACATCTCAGAGCCCCCTACTCGTCCCGCAGTCGTGGCCGAGTGGTTAAGGCGGTGGACTAGAAATGCATTGGGGTCTCCCCGCACAAGTTCGAATCCTGTCGACTGCGCAAACATTTTTTCTTTTTTTTAAGAAGACAGATGGGATGGCAATCGATGTGAGCACGGATGCTGGACGGACAAGGCTAGACCCTAGGAGCTTTGCCCCTAAAAGTTGATTTTGAAAAAATGCCATATTTACATCGAACAACATCTAGAGCAGGGGTGGCCAGGCTGACCCAGTCTAAGAGCCGCAAACAAAACCACGAAACCTCCAAAAGCAGCGGGGGGGGGGGGGGGGGGGGGGGGGGGGGCACTTTTGTCCAGAGCAATATGCGAAACTCTAACTACTTTCAATCTATCCAAATTAAAAGTAGTCCAACTACGTAAGGTAGCAGTAGCACAAGACTACCAAACCGCAACCTGCCTTTAGGTTTAAATCGCATTCCATTTCTCTTTTTGAGGAAGTGCTTGTGTGACCAGGAGGGAGGCGGGGGAGTGGGGGCGGGGGGGGGGGGGGGGGAGGGGAGGGGAGGGGGGGGGGAGGGAGGGGTGTAAGGGAGGGAGCCGGGAGTTGCGAGCCGCACTTCAATACGCAAAGAGCCGCATGCGGCTCAAAAGTTGCAGCTTGGCCACCCCTGATCTAGAGAGTAGTATTCCCAGAAAGTTTAATTAGTTTACAGTGCATAGTTAATTTTTTATAAATTATTTTCAGTCCAAAGATGCTAAAGAAAAGGTAGAGGTTGGAGCACTTTCAATGCATTTTTCTCCACTCCACTTTTCGGCATAAATTTTACTTTAGGAAAACTATCGTTTTCTTATTACACAATATAGAATTATTCTTAGGCAGTTTTCTGGGATAGAATGTTGTGAGAAACATGCCTGGCTGGTTAATTTTCTACTTTAACATTCTTTAATGCTAGAAATACTAAATTTGTAAAGAAGTGCAGACATGAAAAAAAAAAATTTCATCTTCTTATGGAGTTATACTTATGAAAAACAAAACAGTATGGCAAAATAACTAGCTGGGTATGTGCTACGGGTTCTCAAACTGGGTTCCGCGGAACATAGGGGTTCCGCAAAGTGCTCACTTGGGTTCCGTGACCACAGGAACCGACTGAACCCGGCAGCAGAAATGTGGCTGGCCCTAAGCGTGACTGAGCCATGCATCGATTCGCTGTTGCGATCAAAGCAACCCCACCCTTCACACTAATATGTATACTGTCTTTCTTTGTAATCCCACCCTTCAGTCTGATGTGTGTTCTGCTTTTTATTGTTTTATCTGTGGAATAAATATTTTGTGAACTCTTCTATTGAAAGTGTATCCAGGCAGCAAAACGGCGGGGAAGAAGGGGGGGTCTCCTCAGCACTCTTTAAAGGTTGCCGGGGTTCCGTGAGACTAAAAAGTTTGAGAATCCCTGTGCTATGGGCATTCCTGACTATATTATACATAAATGTCACATTTTCATTTTATTTTAAAACGATAGTTTTTCTAAGCGAACACACTGACTTCCATATTGTAACACTCGTAACAAGTTTTAGAATTGAAATAGGACAATAAAATTTGGCAGGGATGGTCTTGCCACTCACAAACTTCCACTGCAAATTTGACTGAAATCAAGCAAGTGGTAGGAGAAGTTGATTTTTCTGGGTAGTGTCCCATCCTAAATGCGGTAGCTTTACGGGGTGGGTGGTGCTCTTAGTTGGTGTAGAGCCTAGGGCAGGATGATCTAGGCACCACTTTCAACGCTTGGTGTGGGTGGTGATCTTAATTCAGCTGGTGCCTAGGACAGACTTAGGTACGAAAACAGATTACATCACACCATTCTCTCTTTGGGATGCCGTGCGCGCATCCCCTTCAGCACCACCCGGATACAAAGCCTTTGCGCTGAATTTTCTGGGTCACCACGGAGCGATGTGGTGACCCAGAACACTGACTGCTTCGTAGGGATTGTTGTTCCGCGACGCTTGTGCGATCAATGCCACGGCTATGTCGCAGCTGGGTGAAGTGTTAAAATGTTTTGGTATGGTAAAAGTATGGGCCTTGTTCTGTACGCCGGAATGCCCATGCGGCAAAACGAGAACTCGCCCGACGAAGGCTGTAGCAGTTCGACGCCGGAATCAGCCCGCAAAGGAGTAGTGATTACTGAGTACAGAAGGGTAGGTTCACACTTCAACTACAAACATAAAACACTGCAAACAAAGTAATATAAATTCCCTAATAAAATTCCTTGTGGAGAAACCTCTCATAATCTCGTTAATGCTGCAGCTTATACAACCAGATATTGAACTCAATCATTTTTGTCACGTGTATTTATTGACAATTTCATTGTTTGCCAGCAGAGCTAGGGGTGACGCACTACTCTAATCCAATACAGAAGCTACATTAAACTGATGAGCTCGGAAAAAAGGAAAAAAGAGACTCTGACACCGTGGATGCTGCAGTTACTTTGCTAGGTGGCGCAAGCTATTGCCCATTATAAAAAGCTTTACCACAACTCCTTTATTAATCCAACCATTCATACAGTCAGCTTCGTTGCGAGCATTCTAAGGAGAGAGTGAAAGGTATAGTCCGCTTTTATTTGCAAAAATTTCATGCCAAAACTTTATACAAAAAATTAGGATTTAGCCTTCCTAATCTCTTGGCTAGTTTTATTTTGATACACTAAACGATATGCAGTCAGTAAATCTACGTCTAAACTCGTTTCATGGTCGCTTTAAAACCACTGAAAACGCTGGGAATGTGAGTCGACTCACCATGATGCCATTGTTGGCGCGGACACAGTTGAACATCTTGCTGAGGAGATCTTCGCCGCTCTTGATGGCCGAACGCTTCTTCACACTACCGGATACCACTCGACCCACGCTGCCGCCGAGCTGTAGTGAGAAAAGTATTAGGCGTCCATTCGTCTGACGAGCGATTTCATAAATTTTGATTGTCAACAACGTTCCTAGTTTGCTGAGAGTTGTGTTCAACAATAATTCATTAACTGCAACTGTTTTGCATAGTTCCTTGACCTTTGTCAAGCAGACGAGCGTCGTCTGCTCACTGCACCCATTGGAAGACGGCACCACAATCCTCGCTACTTAATCGTCCGAATTTTCATTCGTCGTTTACCGTGGCACGGATGTTGGTTTCGTTTTTAGAGCGATTGACTTATTGGTGACACTTTGCCAGGATATCGGTGTCGGCGTTTGTTGCTGTTTGTCATCGCGGCGGAGATAGAAAAACCCTTCTTATCTGCACTCGTGGCGTGAAAAGAAAAAAGTCGGGTGTTCCCACTGGTTGTGTGCACCATGACCCGCACCGCACGAAAAGAGATTATGCGTCTGCCTCTAGGCTCATCACTGAACGTCAACATTACATCCTCCCTTCGCCGCCCAACACCAGAAAAACCTGCGCCTTCGCTGGCGTCTTCACTGCCGCAGACTCGTCCCAATGGCACCACCGCGCCAAGGTCGTACTCCATCCCAGGAGCGAGCGTGGGGGGAACGGGTCAGTTTACGACTGGCTTCCGTGGTCGAACACCTTCAACGTAGCAAACCCGCAACGGACGTTTCACCGATTTCATGCTTCGCCGATTCCGCGCTCTGTGCCAAGATGACGTCCCACTCATCATAACCGACGACTTCAACGTCGACCTTGGCGGCCGCAGGAACGAGCTGTTCTGTAGCCTCGTCGCAACGAAATCGGACCTCTGCGTGGTGTCCGATGGCAATGCACCGACAACGTGTGCCGGCACCATCATCGGTCTTGCGCTTACGAAGAACACTGATGCACATCCAGGGTCTCGCCTTGCCCACTTACTTTACCATTCGCCGAGCACTCGTGGCAGACTCCACAATGGCAACGGGCATCAACCACTTCGCAACCCCGTCCTTGGGTACGGGACGACACCATTTTGCTCGCACTGAGCGAACGTGCTACGGCTATCGCTTTTACTTCATCGCAGATTGCGGTCGAAAAAGGGTGGATTTTTACGGGGAAGGAGCTAGAAATACACCTTTTATGAAAACTCGACATTGCAACAGGTAGGTGTCCATTATTCCGGCCAATTCTAGAACGCGCCTGGGAATTTGTGCCCCCGTATAAACCAGTGGTCCTCAGCCACAGATGTTTCGAGGACACCTTTGGATCGGCAAAGTGATAGGGGACCCCACTTGCCGGGGGGCAAGGAAATGGTATTGAATGATCCCAATTACAAAAGAGTTAACGAAGGAAATTATATGCATGCAAACCAACTTTGCAGCCCTCAAACAGAAAATATTCGACCCTACCCACTGAGTGCACATAATTTTGTCTACAGTCAAACCCACTTATAACAATCCCACATAAAACGACGCATCGGTTATAACGACCAGCTTTCAGAAAATATGGGCATTCAAGACCCTACCCATTAAAATTGGTCCAGATAAAACGACTGTTTTTCAAAGCATCTTACTGTTACAACAAACACTCAAAATCTGCTTTCAGAAGAAAGAAAAACAAAAAAAAACCTCCCGCACCCAAAAAGAAAAAAAATGAAAAAAAAAGATTAAAAGAGCTACATCTCGGATGCGGCGCTCCAGGAGACGCTCAAGGTCATTTCCACGGCCGCGCAACATATTTCCCCTGGGAGGAAACAAAACTAAAAAAGCAAAAAGCATGCAAACTGGCGCAGTACCTTGGCGCCAGTTTGCATGCCCCTTTAATGGAATATATGGCTCAATCTATATCATGTCACGTGACAGCATAAACTTGCATGACATGACATCACATGACACTGCATCGTGTGAAACCATGAGGTGATATTGTAACGTCACGTAACCATGTCATGATGTTCTGTGGCGTGTCTCAGAATCGAGCAACCTCATGACTGTTGTATGTATACAATGCCGCTTTGAAGATTGAAACTGTACGGTTCTATCGAACAAGGGCGTCGAGCAAAGCTGCCAGACTCGTCTCACCCGCGACATGGGACCACAGACGCAGTTGATGACGACGTTGAGCGCCGAGCGCTGCACGTCGGGGTCAGCTATGATCTCCCCGTCCGCTGCGGCCAGGATGACGCTGCAGAAAAGCCAGACAATCGGTGAATCCCTTGTCACCATCCATACGAAAAGTACAGAGACTGGGGGCCAAAAAAAACCGAACGGTCTTTGCACTGACAAGGCCGTCCACCTAGCGACGAACGTGGCCATTTTTCCTTCGACTTCCATCAGTTCAAACTCTGTTTCATCCAAACCTTTCAAACGCATAGCATTTGTAGAGTTGGTCCTTCGTGCTTCCGTGTTGGGATGTAGCGTAGATGGGGATGCCACGCTGATGACATCACAGCGTTCACGTGATGTCGTCAGCATTTTAAAAGGATCACTGTGACGTCCACACGTGAACACAGTAATGGTGTCAGTGTTCACACCACAAGAGCAGCGCGACGTTCGTTATCTAACACCATCACGTGACACGTAGCAGAGGACCTTTAAGTGCTACGCATCTAGAGTGGCTTTGGGATATGCAAAAGGGACAGGTAGTGTTTTAGCACCCCCCATGAAAAGCAGACAAGCTAAAGTCAAATGCCTCTACTACGAAAGCGGCCGTTTATCAAAGTAAAAAAAAAGTGTCGGTCAATCTACTATGTGTTCGATGTGTTTCTCTGACTACTACACTGAATTCTTGTTTAATAAATATTCAGCCTTTCCACTGGTGAAGACAAAGTGGAAAGGCTGAATAAATTCAGCCTTTCCACTCTGCTAAAGATTAGAGTGGAAAGGCTGGAAAGGTTGTTGCCATCTATGAGCGACGGCAGCAACCACACAACCAGACAACCAGCAAGCCAGTCGTCTCGTTGCCGCCGTCACTCATAGATGGCGGTAGCTGTCTGGAATTTTGTGTCGACATTTATTTTTTGACGAACACGAAACTGGGGAAACTAGACCCTTAACAGCTCCGCCGTAAAAGTTAAATTTATAGAGTATAGACCACGGCCGCAGTCTTGTGTGCAATACAAGTGAAGTTGCCTAAGCGTATTTCAGAATGGCATGAGACCAAATTTGACAGACGGAATTTGAAAGTGGAAGATCAGGTTTCCACTCAGCTACAACCTCCCAAGGCAAAACAGTTCTTTGAAGCCGATATCAACATTACTGTTAAGGCCCGTTCACACTCTTGCGACCTCTTAAACCTGGGTTCCTTAAAACTTGTTAAACCAGAAAACACACTGGCGCCATCTATTGGGAAGCAGTGTAAACTCGGCGGTCCGGCATATTTTTTTTTTATTTCTCGAGCATTATTCTTTCTTTCTTGACTCGAAAAACTTTTGACAATGTTATAAACGAGCCTTTCTATGGGTATTACGCACATTTGACCTCGAAAATCCCGCAAAACCTTCGCTCTTGTGAAATGCAGTTCCAGGGTCACCGCATAGGTGGTGCCACAATGTCAGTGTGTTCCCTCATTCTAAAAACATTTAAGAAGTTGTAAGAGATCTCGTCTCTCTCAGTCGTACTCGATCGCAAAAGTGTGAACGGGCCTTTAAGCTCACTCAAAAAGCACATGCCACAAAGTGCCGTTACGTGACACAAATTTATCGTGCACTCCACTTTCCAGAGACGTTTTACAGTGGGCCACAACTTCAACGTGCCGCATGCGCAAGGTAAGCCTGCAAGGTGTTGGCATCTCTCTGGCCACCCTCCAAGATTAGCCGCCCCCCGAATTCCGCCTCCTGGTCGATCCATCCTCGAAGACAGTGCCGCTGCTCACCTCATGCCCGCAGCTGAGCGCACCTGGCCCGTCGACAGCGCCACTGCCTGGCACAGCGCCAGCTGAGCCCTGGGCGCCACCGAGCACACCGCCAGCACGTCCAGTGCCGACCGCACCGTGTCTGCCTTGTTCGAGTGGTTCCAGTCGTACGCCATTGCCACCGTCTGCAGGAGCAGCGACACCCCGCCCAGCCGCACCAGCTCCTCCGCCGGCGACCAGCGGGCACGCGCCGGCAGCAGCTCCAGCAGCGTAGAGACGTTCTCGGCCACGGCCTCCGCGGTGAAGCGCGCCGCGCGACATCGGTGCTGGCTGGACGACGATGGCGGCGCGCCGGCACCAGAGGGCAGCGCCGAATGCAGGGGCGGCGGCGGGGAGCCGGCGGAGGTGATGGCATTGGAAGCAGCGTTGGCAGAATTGCGGGCGTGGGAACGGCGGAGCGAGTCTGCCTTGAGCGCCAGGTGCGCCTCGTAGTAGCGCTTGAGGGCCACGCAGACGTGCCGCGCTGTTTGGCGGCTCGCAAACACCTGCGGGGGGGGCGCTGCCGTTTAGAACGCGGGTCATCAAACCGGGTTCCTATGATCCGGTGGTTAGCAAATGGGGGTTTGCGTGCCCTTTGGGGTCCTCCAAGACCTTATTAGGATCCCCGAAGCCCTCGACCATCAATCGAGCGGAGCAATAAACTTCTTTTTTCTCTTCTTATTCCTGGCAATCCCGCAAAGGTAAGAGACCAAACTAAATGCACCGAGCGAGTGGGGTCGATTATTCTCCGCTTCAGAACTTCAAAGTTTGTTGGCACGCATTTGGTTTTCTTTGTTTACCTTTTGGCCAATGCAATCATCCAATAGCCCCATCCCCCTGGTGGAAAGGGGATCAGTTCCGTTCAAACCCCAAAACATCGGCGGTTGAGAACCACTGCCATAGTCACTGCCAAGAATAGAACTGCAAGGGAGAGCTTTAGTTGCCTCCAGCACCAGCTTCCCACCTTTGACTACGCTGGGGCGTCTTGTGCACCTCAAGGCCGGGCACGCAGCCCAAGCACGGAGGAAGGCAAGGAGCATGTGAGGTAGGCCGGGCATTCAAAAGACGTGCCCTGCCATTCTTTTACTGTCAGTGACCCTAGAAAATGGTACCTCAGAACAACCCCCAAAGGTTCCCCGAGCACTGGAATTTCCTCGACTACCTCTGTCCCTAGGTACAAAATGTTCCCGGTTCGAGCCCTGTTTTACCAGATTCGAGTGCCCATCAATGCATGACTACGAGTTGAGTACCTCCCAGCATATGCATTATTGTTTACACAGCCAAGAAGTTCCCCCACTGCTTTACTGCGTCAATGCCAAGGAGAGGCGGAGCTCTTCAGCTACAATTTGGGGCAGGCATGGGTTCCTCATGTTTAAAAAGTGTCCCATGCCATGGGTTCTCAAACAGAATTCCTAGAATTCCTAGGAATGGTCCCAGAGCTCCCAAATTTACTCGACTGTCCCTACACCAATGTAAGCACTAATTTAGAGGATCTGAGCCATCCATTAACACATACCTATCCTGCAAACTTTCTTTAGTGCGTGCAATCGTCTACGCAAGGTTTGTGGGCGTCTACCGCACTTTATGGCCCCAATGTCGAGAAGGAAGGTGTTCTTCGGCCGCCAAGATTGAAAAGTCCCCCCGAGATTGGAAAGTTGGAGAATGAGCTACGCTTTGAAGCGTGGCTCGTTTCACGGTTCTAGTGCCAACGCTACAGTGCGTGGAACGCGTCCTCGGCATCGAGTTTAGTATCCTATCCCGCCTATACCGTATTTGCAAAAATAATGCCAGTTTTTTTTTTTTTTCTCCAAATTACGCGCTTCAAAACACACCTCACGTTATGTTCAGAATCAAGCTTGGCCATGAGGTATGTGAGTCGGGGGTCGCTCCGACTGAATGCGGGCGATTGGGTGGGGAGGAGAGTTGTTAGTTCTTGCGCCACGTGAAGGGAGCAACACAGAACGTCGAAAGCATTCTTCAACGTTGTAGTGCTTGTACAACAGACGCGGCCACAGAAACAACAAAAACGGCAAAAACGCGACACGCCGATGCAAGAGTGTGGCCAATTCGAGCCAAGCCAAGACAGGCTAAAAAGACACCAGCCAAGCAAAGACCGCTGACCGTGTCAACGCAATCGTCAAGCACAAGGTATGCTTTTACGCAGAGAGACAGTAGCCAGCAGTCTCTTCTGCCTGTGTGTTTTTTAGTTTCGGCTCGAGCGTGTTTTGGCGTTGGTGCGTTGGCGCTTCCGCTTCGTGCGCTTCGTAAACCAACCGACCTGACACAATGTGCCGTGGTTCCGGGGCTTGCGGACAGAGCTTACCCCGAAGCAAAACAAACTATGAGATATCTCCGAAGTTGCAACAGTTACTATCAGAGACTAAACTGTCGCAGGAAGTGGCCTAGAGTACCTTTAACGAGAGCACTTCCGAAAAAGAACTAGAATACCTGCTAGATATACGGCGATGTCTCGTTAATAAGGAACACCTCCATTCCCCCTGAAAGCATTCATAATGCAAGCTGTCCGTAATAATGAAACAAATCTGCATCTTACCCACTTCGTCCCCGAAAATGGGTCCGTTTCAAAGAGACACGACCAATCATAAAGCAACACCCGAGACTGTGATACGCATCACGGTCTCGGTCGTGACGTTACCATTAACTATCCAACTTGTCTGCACGCTCGCTGTTTTTTCGAGGTACGACATCACTGCTACAAGTCAGAATTTCCCGCTGCTGGCTAGACCGAACGTTTACCTGCCAGACGAGCGCAGGAAATGGCTAAACCTGGCGGAAAAACCACCGAGACGGTGACCCCACCTGGTCGTCGGAGGGCGAGCTCCCCTCGGCGTTGTTGGTGCGCACGAAGACGTCCAGGGTGCTCATGACGTTGAGCAGCTTGCGCAGGCCGTCCTGGGCGTCGAACAGCTCCAGCAGGGACCGGAACGGGAAGGCCAGCCCGAAGAACATGGTGGCGTGGCAGCGGCTCGAGTCGTGCGAACGCTCCATTAGCCACAGCGCATACCTGAGTGACACAGAGTTTGCATTCGCAGCTTTTTGCCCGTGCGCAGAGAAAGTCGTCGCTTTAGGAACAGGAAACTTACTGTACGAGGTCTGCCAGGACGGACTGCGGTAGCATGCACACCTGGAAGTGGACAAGAGACGACATGGAATGAAATCGATACGGTGCGACAGATCTCTCTTACCGATATAAACACGGCGCACAAAGTGATAGAAGGAGACTGGACAAGCGCTTGTCCAAACCTGTCTGTAGCCTAGAGTGGGGTTCTCAAACTTTTTCGGCCCACGGAGCCCCAGCAAGCCTCTAAAAAGTCCCAAAGAACCCCACCCCTGCCTTAATGCATACCAATAATACTGGGCAATAAAGGCATTTAGATAGTGAACAAGAGTTAATTGCACTGACAAAATAAGAAGGCAAAGGGGTTAACCTGGGGCACAACGTAAAATATATAGTATACATATTAGTGCAGAGGGTGAGGTTTCCTTGTCCGCAACACCAACCCAATCCATGGCTCGGGCCGCGGAAATGAAAGCAAAATTAAAGGGGGACCTTTACTTTGGGTGCTTCCGGATTCCGTGAGTTTAGCCTCACGCAACCCGTATTCTGCGGAACCCAGTTTGAGAACCCCTTGGTCTATAGCAGGGGTGGCCAAAACGCGGCTCGCGAGCCGCATGCGGCTCTTTGCTGGTCCAAGTGCGGCTCGCGGAACCCACGTAAGGAAGCCCCCCCCCCCCCCACCCCCCTTTCCGCGTTTCCCCAGGAAAAAAAAAAGAAAGAATTTCAGGCAGAATAAAGTATGGCTCGCGGTTTGGCTACTTTATTACGTATTACTTGATTACGTATAAGTGCACAAGGCTGTATTGTCGTACAGCCTTGAGCAGTCATACGTACAGTCATACGTACGTATACGTACACAGTCATACGTACTGAGCAAAATTTAAATTTGCCCCCCCCCCCCGGCTCTTGGAAGTTTCGTGGTTTCGTCTGCGGCTCTTAGGCCGGGTCAGCCTGGCCACCCCTGGTCTATAGTCACTGATGTTAAACAGTGAGAATGGCAGGGCATGTCTTTCGAACGGCCGGTCCCCAGCAGGCGCTCCATGCCTTCCGTTGTGCTTTGGCTGAGCATGCGACCGAAGAGCACGAGGTGCCGAAGCGTTGTCGAAGGTAGGAAACCGGCTAATTTTTATAGCAGATCTTACTACTGGCAATCGCGACGACCAGCAAACAGCCGCAAGTCGGAACTAGACTCTTTTGACTGCGATGACGTGTGAAGTGGATGCCGTCTCGCGCATCACCGAGCACGCTCCACCGCGCACAAGCCCAGCAAGAAGGTGGGAGATCGAGGGTGCCTTTTATTTCTATTTCTCTAGTTATGGCACCTGATTGAGATCGCAGCCCTCCCGTCAGTGGATGTGACTGCACTGGCAAATTCCCCTACTTTTCGAGACCACATTTGAACAAAGTTTTACGATAAATTGCAAGTAAAAAAAGCGCAATGGCGCATGATCGAGGATGGTCATGTTTTGTGCGCTAAAGAAACGAGAATTCCGTTTGAGGCCTTAAAGGGAAAGTGGAACACGTTTGTTTTCTTCGAAGGCGAAACTAAACGTGAGAAAACACGAAAAAACCTCCGACCAATCATGACGTCATAAGAGGATCTTTTGGCCGCCAAGCGCGTGTCGCTCAAGGGCCACACGTGCAACTGCAAGCTTACCAGGCGTATTCTCCCGCACTGGTATTGGTTGTGACGTCTTTTTCTGGCCTTTTGGAACAATATTGAGAGCATGCATGCATGGCTTTAATAGGCACTGAAGGTGCGCAAGTGGAAATTCCAAAAAACTCCTTTTGTGACGTCCCGCTCTGGGAAGGAGGGCCTTCAGCAATACTTCAAAACTGATTTTCTGCAGCCTCCATGATTCTGGAGGTCAAATGAAGACGACTGAATTGTTTGTCCTCAAATAAAAAAACACTTCAGCTTCCCTTTAACGATAGGTTTGTACATTGCCCCAACGGCTGGTTCACAAACTTGCAAGCACTTATGACCCGAGAGGTTGAAGGTTGGTTCACTCAGGGCAGTTTTCCTACGTAAAGTTACGTTACGACTGTTCACGATCGCTTACGTCACTAGTCACAAGGACATCCGTGCTTCAAATGAAGCATGGTGACCGGTTCAAGAAGCAGCTTTGACGTGAAGTACGAAACATGAACGTCCTGGTCACCCCTCACGTGACGTAAGATGTCGCAAGCAAACGCCCGTGTGAACCGACCTTAAAAGCCAGTTTTAAGCCTCTCGCGACTGCTTACAATCGGCTGCGAAGGCTGCACAGACGGTTGTAAGCAGTCGCAAGTGCGCGAAACAGCCTTAACAGCCTTTACAGCTACCGCCAAAACCTTCCCCAACACTGCAAACATTTTGTGCAGATTCCCCCCAGAATATCTCGGTTTTCCCCTGGCCGGGACAAGTTTCCTCGACGCTCTGACGTCGCCGACGAGATGGCACTGTACTCACCCTCTCCATGGCGTCCTCGCTGTACGCCAGGTAGTAGAGACAGATGGAGACGCCAGTGGCCGCGACGGATGGCCGATGGACTTCCAGCAGGCGCTGGAGGCCTCCCACCGCTATAAACTCCAGGGCAAACTTCTTGTGGCACAGGAGTGCCGCCAGGTACTGCAACCGAACGCGTGACACGTTGCACTCTGCGGTTCAGACTGCATCGCGTAGCTATGACTTTGGCATTGTTGCCGCGGTCGGGTACGAGTTAAGAATGTCCCACAAGCTCCTCTCGCACTCTCGTTACCACTAGCCGCTGTTCATACGCAATGCATAAATTGTCTGCTACCAAGACGCACTTCACGGAAAGATCGTGTCGTGGATACTGCCTTTCCGGGTTGGTCCGCAGAGCAATTTGATGTTGTGGTTGTTAGGTGGTGGCATTTATTTGGCGCATTCTCAACGTATATCCGACTACAGTTCCAATACAAATAGGAATAAACAAAATTAAGTTTAAATGCAAGCACCAAACAACTTTCAGATTCTACCTTCCTTTCAAATGGTCATGTATTACCACTACTCCCAATATAATAACAGTAAGTTTCACTGCAAGCACCAAACATGTGAACTCTTTCCGACGACCACATACGACAAACGGGCGTCACCTCGTAGCTCTAGCTATTGTGAGGTTCAAGCTCAAGTGCGGAACATGTCTCAACCTCCATTTGTGAGTGCTGCTTTATTTACCATATTTTTTGGACTATAATCCGCAGGCTATAGGCTTTTAAAAGTTAAAATTTCCATCGAGCGGGCTATAAAAGGGTTTGTTTTTCAAGATCAATCATTATGGCAAGACGTGACATATTTTGTTAATGACCGAGTATGTTATTGATGATTTACGAATAATACAAACTTCTTAAAGAGCTAATGAAGATGGCATTTGTCGGTGTAAGTGGTGTATGAAGAACTTTTACCTAAGGACTAGACCAGGTGTGGACTATCTAAAAAAAGGCTTTCTATACCAATCCGAAATTTGCCCCTGTGGACTATACATCAGGTGCAGACTATAAACCGGAGAGTATGGCGCACCTTTGCATTGCACGAAAGCAAGGACGAATGTGAATGCACAGCAAACCATCTCCAAAGTGACACACCAAACATGTGAACTCTGGCTTGCCAAGTATACGAGCCAAGACATGCAAAACATGCAAGTTCTGACCCACAGAGAGTAAGAGGTTCAACTCACAAAGCTCATGATCTACAACTTGCAAAGCACGTCAGCTATGATTGGCAAGCCATAGAAGCTCTAACTTGCAAAGCTTATGACTAGGGTTCCATGTTTTTGGATAAACCTGATAAACTACGAAAAACATTCGCTGATAAAATTTTCGGCAAATTGGATTTATCCGAAAAACTCTAAATTTCAAAGTCACGATGGTAAAATAAAAAGCCAAAAAGATGGTATATTACAAATAAAGTTTGCAGGATCACAGGGCTAGTGGTACTAAGAAAAGGCTAATTAAGTTTCTTTTCATTATTTTTTATCTCGGATTACTGACGACAAGGAGATTCGTGTATCTCGTAAAGGTTAGTTCAGTACGATATAAGCTGAAGCACTTCTGGACCACAAAATGCCACTGTTCCGGATCCCAGTTTGGACTGTACTGCTTGCGCTTCTTAGAGGGAGGAGGGGTTGTGTTTTTATGACAGTGAAAAATGTGAACCTGTAGATTTCATAGGATGGGGAGGGCAGTTGAAGGTATTATGCATCCAGGAGTTAGGCTATTTCAAAGTACCAACGTTTATTGACAGTATTAACTGTCGTGGGACAGTTAGTACTGACAATTGCAAGGGTGCCAATGTTAAATGCAGCTGCAGAAATATCTTTAGATGCTGGCGATCCTTTTACAGTGGAGCTGTTAAGGGCTAGGTTCCCCAGGATCGTGTCCGGTATCAAACGCCTGTAGACACAAACCTACCTGGACAGCTACCGCCATCTATAAGCGACGGCGGCAAGCACACAACCAGTCTGGTTGCCGCCGTCGCTCGTAGATGGCGGCAACCTTTCCAGCTATCACAGAAGAATGGATAGTTGGGCGCGTTGGTGGGAATTCATCGTAGGAAACAGCGCGAAAAACAGACGACGACGAAGAAGAAGCACATGTAACGAGCGCATCGCTCGCACGCGTGTTTCTTCGTCCTCGTCTGTTTTGCACGCTGTTTCCTACGCTCTTATTAGTTTCGATTTGGACTTAAGATGGGTCGGCCGCGCGCCCTTTCGGGGAAAGGCTGGCTGCGGAAGGAGCGGCGACGTACGCAGCAGCTCGAATGGGTCGCAACCGCCGCAAAGCCACTGTCGCCTCGACTTCCACTGCGTCGAGCGCTTCGGATTCCCTTGCCAAAGAAGAGCACATCGCTCGCCTGGAAAGCCTCCGCTGAGAACAGAACCAGCGATGTAAAGAGCGCCGGCGGGCCAACGCCTCGGACGACGATTGTGCCACAGAGGCCAAGCGCAAGCGCACGGCGCGGCGACGACTGCACTCTATGCCGGCTGAACAGTTCCCGGGCGCGACGGCGAAATTTCGGAGGGAGTTTGTGTATTACCCGTTTGGCGTCAAGTGCGCCGTGTGCGACCGACTCTGGTTCGCCAAAGACGTATCCACGATCGGTGGCATGTCAGACGAGAAGAAACGGGAAACAGGCGCCTGCGCGTCGCAGCAGTGTATCGAGTACAGCTCCGCTAGCCTTCCTTCTTTGCGAGAGTGGAAAGGCTGAACGTTTTTTTATGAATTTAGTGTGTTTTTGTACAAAGTCATTAATTTTTACAAAAAATAAAACTAGAGTATTAATTAACTTCAAACTTTGGAGAATTGAAAATCTAAAAATAAACTTCGATAAGCCCTATATTTCCAGCGAAAAATAAACTCTGAAAAACACCTACCGAATTTCCCAAAAAGATAAACTCCGAAAACACGGAATCCTACTTATGACCTACAACTTGTAAAGCACGTTTCTACGACTGGCAAGGCAAGTGAGCTCAAATTGACAAAGCACACGTGTTGTGACCCGTAGAGCGTGTCTGCAGCGAACCCGCGTACGTAGCACGTGACTTGCGGCCCACCTTGAGTGCCTCGAAGGCCAGCCGCACATCCTTGTTCTCCTTCAGGTTGGCATAGTGCAGCAGCAGGTGCAGAGTGCGTGCCTCCAGCACTGCCCCGAGCAGCTCCTGGTACTCCCCAAGGGGCGTCAGGTACTGCAGGATTAGGCGCTGCTGCATCCCCGCCGTCAATGGGTACACCTGCACGTGAGCGTTTCATGTTATGAATACACACGAGCCTTCATGTGTTATGCTAACACCTGGGCATTTGCATGTTACGCCAGCACATCAGCGTCTGCGTGTCCGCACGCTAGCGCCACGAATCCCTCTATTCACACACCCCCCGCACCCAAATGTAAAGCAGTCTCTCCTGAGCAGACGGCACCCAAGGCAGTGTCCTCCTCTCTCCCCCAGCTTACCTCACAGTTTGGAACAGAAAGAAACCAAGAAGAGTTTTTGCCATGCTGCAGAGGAGAAATCCTAAGTTCGGCAAGACCGACAGTTAAGTGCATTGAGGAGCCGCTGATGATTCTTTCTTTAAAAACTGAAAGCCTGTCATCGAAACTATTGCCGTAAAATACAGAGCGTCCACCCATTTAACAATAAGGGCCTACCCCTCAATTTTGTAACGTTTGGAAAATACACAAAGGACATACCTTTACATATTTACATTATTTTATCTCCAAATTTTGAGTGGGTCACATGCTCGGGATTTTACGATCGTTTGACAGCTTTTGACAAGATGAAGAAATGTTTGTCATTTCCATGACTGAGTAAACGACAATGTCGCGTTCGTCCTAGCCGTGTCGAGCCACATACATTTATTATAAAAGCGGCAGGAGAGTGGATGCTGTACTATCTGCGTTCTACTCAAGGGTTACTCAAGCACTTCAAATCTCTCCATTGTTCCTACCCTATGCATGGTTCGGTATATCTGAACCATGCACTGGTGCACAATTTGCCAAACATTTGATAGTAGGCTCATTTCATTTATCTGCACCTCCTGCCACAGCCACATTTGGTGCACAACGCTGCATGCGATTTACGAGTACGGCCTATCTGAAAGCACAACTGGAAGTAGTCCTTGACCGATTTTTTCTAGTGCCAAAAATTAGGACTTGCTTGTTACTTCGGAGATCAACGAGGAACCGTGACTTACCCAATTGAAACAGTGGACACTAACAACCAATTTCTCGGACAGTTTGCAGTCCAAAAGTTTGATGTTTCGGACTAAAATAGTAGCTACGAGTGGCACCCGCCGGGAGGCTTTTATATTAAATTTTTTGCTGGCTTGACTGTGGGCTTGGCTTGATGTTTCAAAGGATAGGAGAGGTTTGGCAGCACTATTTTAAGGCTGCCGAACCAGCCGCTGGGTGTGCTCTGTTTGCTACGCATCGTCATTGTCTTGGTTTCTTTCCTTGGTCAATTTTCCAACCTCAACCAACTTCTTTTTTCGTTTTCGTGCCAGAGGCCATTGGTTAAGTGCGGAGTGCACTGTTGACAGGTTCTAAACTTTGCACCTAAATGTCTCGCGGTTTCATCGTTTTGCCCTGCGTCGGTACGTGCTTTGGACCTCCTGGGCTCTTCTTGCACCTTCGCCCGATAAAAACATGACGCTGACAAGAAGGCAAGTGGACATGATCGCCCGCAAGCGTAATATGACACAAAGTACCCTTAGCGACTTTTTACGGCGGAGCTGTTAAGGGCTAGGTTCCCGAGGATCGCGTCCGGTACAAAACACCTGTCGACAAAAACGCCTCTGGAAAGCTACCGCCATCTATAAGCGACGGCGACAAGCACACAACCAGTATGGTTGCCGCCATTGCTCATAGATAGCGCCAACTTTTCCAGCTAAAATAGAAGAATGCATGGTTGGGCGGCGCGTTGGTGGGAATTCATTGTAGGAAACAGCGCGAAAAACAGACGACGACGAAGAAGCACACGTAACGAGCGCAGTGCTCGTCACGTGTGTTTCTTCGTCCTCGTCTGTTTTGCGCGCTGTTTCCTAAGCTCTTATCAGTTTCGGTTTCGACTTAGGAGGGGTCGGCCACGCGCCCTTTCGGGGAAAAAAGACTGGCTGCGGAAGGAGCGGCGACGTACGCAGCAGCGCGAATGGGTCCAGTGACAGCCGCAAAGCCGCTGTCGCCTCGAATTCCACTGCGACGAGCGCTTCGGAATTCCTTGCCAAAGAGAGCACATCGCTTGCCTGGAAAGGCACCGCCGAGAACAGAACCAGCAAGGTAAAGGGCGCCGGCGGGCCAATACCACGGATGACCATTGTGCCACGGAGGCGAAGCGCAAGCGCGAGGCCCGGCGACGACTGCACTCCACGCTGGCTGAACAGTTCCCGGGCGCAACGGTGATGTTCCGGAAGGAGTACGTAAATTACCCGTTTGGCGTCACGTGCGCCGCGTGCGACAGACTCTGGGTCACCGGAGACGTATCCACGATCGGCGGAGTGTCGGACGAGAAGAAGCAGGAAACGGGTGCGTGCGCGTTGCGGCAGAGTATTGAGTTCAGCTCCGCTGGTCTTCCCTCTTCACGAGAGTGGAAAGGCTGAACGTTTTTTAAGCCCGCTTAGGCTCAATAAAGCCAACTTTTGTAATCTGCCGATTTTTTGGACTGCTTTATTATTCAGATGCTTTTTCAGCCCCCACGAAGGCAGAAAAATCGGTCGCCAACTGTACATTGCCCTACACTTTGCTGCACTGCGCTATACTTTACTGCACCGGTGCAGGCTGCTGTAGGTAAATAGAATGAGCCTGGTATGTGCAGCATTGATAACAAGAACTGCAGACATCTGGAGAGAAACATCTGCACTGCTTTGAAACGATTGTGCCGCTCTTCGCGGCGATCAGGTGTTAATGTTCCTTAAAGAAGCGATAAGCAGCTCATTGAACAATGTACCCTCCTCCAAGGTCGACTTATCAGCCTAACAAGTGGCCGATCAACCGACGAAAAATGTGGCACGGGATCTTCTCTTTTGTCGACTGATCGGCCACTCAATCAGCCAATCAGCTGAATAGGAAGAAGATCCGGTGGTGCGTTGGACGACGAGCTGTTCATCACTCGTCCTACTTGATTGGCAGCCGAGGAACAACCAATCAGTCAATTGGTGGACCGAGGCCGATCGATCGACAAAGGTGGCGGTTGGCTACCTGGTGGGAGCCGATCATGAGGGGCTCCAGCTCAGCCCAGCTGCTGTTGGAGCACTCGTTCAGCGGCGGACCGGAGGGGCTCTTGCGTGGCGTGGAGGGCACACAGTCTGCCGCCCGCTTGTCCGATCCGTGGTGGGCCGCCCCCCGACCGCCCTCGCCGTTCAGGTGTGAGAAAGGCCGCTCCGGTGTTCGGCACACCACCTCCTCTGGCGTCACCTGGGTAGAAGGGAAAGAATCCATGCTGTTCTGTTCATTGTTGGTAAAGAAAGCGTTGCTATCGTTTATTGATGGGAAAGAACTGTGCCTTTCCATTTATTGACAAGAATGAAATTGTGCCATTGCCGTTTATTACAAGAAAGAAACCATTGTCCCTGTTTCTTGATCAAAAAGGAAATCGTTGCATTTGATCTAAAAAGAAATCATTCTTTTTCTGTTTATTGACGTTAAAAAACCTTTTTATTTTTGTTTATTGACGGAAAAAAAACCACGCTCTTCACATTAACAGACAGCAAAAAAACTGTACCACTCCCGTCACTCGAGAAGAAAAAAAAGTTCTCTCGTTTACGTTCACTGACGGAAAAAGGTTTCCTTCTTCTTTATCAATGAAAAAGAAATGGTTTAGCTTCCCTTTGTTAAGGAAACGACCACTAACCTGCGCGAGCTGCCAGAGCCTGCGCAGCATGGCGGGCACCAGCCGGGCGTTGGCCTCCCGGAAGTTGGCCGCCGTGTCTTGCACCTCCATGGCCGAGGCCAGCAGGCCGGTCGCGTAGGACTGGAGCAGGGGGGGCGTGGTCTCAGACTCCGCCCACTGGTACAGCCGCTGCACCAGCCCCTCCGTGTCCTGAAGGAAGGTGGAACAAAACATTTGCACCTTTCCCGCACTGTTGTGGCAAAGGCAGCGGGCAACACGTGCAGAACGAAGGCTAATGCCGTAGAAACCAGAGATTCTGGGTTCAATCACCAACCTGGCCAGTTCCGATCTAGACAAGCTTCGTACCGGCACCCGGTCGTGCGTCAATACTGCATAATGCACGTTATAGACCACAGACTATTAAAAGCAGGCGATACCTAAGGGGCGCGCCGCCCTGCCTCGAAAGCTGGTTGGCACGCCACCAACGACGACGTCCGCGCTGTGTCGCATAGTGAAGCGCTACCCGCTCGGACCTCTTCTGATGTGCTTGCAACGTCTACTTTTTCCTGCGGCCGTATTTCTCAATCTCGCTCCTTAGTCGAAGGTTTGGCACCTTGAAGTTTAAAAACCTACACCTGTCCGGCGTTGCTCCGCACACAATTTTACAACATTCGACCCGCAGGAGTTGCTCGGAGCTCGGGTTCAGTCGTATGTCCCGCAACTGTAAGTGCCACCGACGGCGATACGCCACCACCTCTTTCCTTTTTTCGCGTCAGAACATGCCTTTACAAAACGTTCGTGCGCTCGGTGGTCCGGAAATCGCTATGGGACAGCATTTATCAGCACCAGAAATCAACAAGATTTACCTGAGAAGTATTTTTCACCCCTCTTATTATCAGATTGCCCCTCGTTCGCCGGCGGATCAAGTAGACGTACCGAGATCAAGACAATTGTGGCGGTTTCCGTAGGCGCGTGCGGGGGATTTGCGGTCTCAATTTTCTTGTCCGGATTAAAGAGAAGTTTGTGGCGAGCGTGGCCTTAAACATTTTGTACAGTGCTGTGGTCGGGTAAGCCGACATTCGTTAGGCCCGCTTCAGACAAGGCAACTTTCTCAGCAATTTTGGTGTTGTTGATGGGTTGTTCCCTAGCTTTGCCTAGATTAACATGAATTGCTGAGATCAGGTCCAGCTCGAAACAAGCCAGAAACTTGGAGCAATTCGAAGACATTTAAAGCGGCTGCAGCCGATCAGAGACACAATATTTTCACGTGATATGTCGTGCCAGTGATGATGACAACTAAAGACTTAGTTCTGGGTTGAAGTTGATCGTTTTTGGAAATAAAACCATTTAAGAAAGATCTGTTAGTATTCTTAACATCATTTAGATTAATAAGAACATGTTTATAGCACGTTATTGTGTGTCTAAATAGTGCAAGAAAAATAAAATTTCATGATGATGATGGCAAATTGCAGCAATTGGTTGCTGCGTGTGAATGCGGGTGGCCCGTGTTGCTGGTGTCGCGACGTCAACTGCTGGTCGTAATTGCCCCGTCTGAAGCTGGCCTTAGGAACAAGCACTGGCCGCTATGCAAGGCGTCCGTGCCCGTCCGGTCGTGTTTGACATGAAACGCTTCCGCCAGGAACCTCACTGTAGCGCCACCGCGGTCTCGTAGCACACTTCGAATAGCCGCTGACAAAGCAAGAACGGCAGGGCACGTTTTTCGAATGCCTGACCTGCGGTCCGTGCTCCGTGCCTTCCAACACGCTCGTGCTCAAGGTGCACGAGACGCAGACGCGTTGTCGAAGGCAGGTGGCCCGCGCCAGAGGCCAATTAACCGAAGTTCCTCCTTGCAGTTCTAACCTCGTCAACGACTATGTTAACACTCTTCTTCAGACGCATCCACCCTTATTTACTAATCGCAGACGGCACAGCCTCATTGTGGCTAAAGTATGTAGGAAAGAAAGCGCACTTCCCGTACAAGCCGAAGTCCATCCACTCCTGCTCCTGCTCCTGCTCCTGCTCCTCGTCCTCTCTCTCTCTCTCTCTCTCTCTCTCTCTCTCTCTCTCTCTCTCTCTCTCTCTCTCCCTCCCTCCCTCCCTCCCTCCCTCCCTCCCTCCCTCCCTCCCTCCCTCCCTCCCTCCCTCCCTCCTCCTCCTCCTCCTCCTCCCCCCTCAAAACAAAATCAAGGCCTTTCGGCTACCGCCGAAACCGTCGCCGCAACAGCAGAACGCTTTTCTTTGGATCGAGTCAGGCGCCGGCGCCGCGCCCCGCCGGCTCTCAATTGAGGGGCAAACCACTCTGGTCAGATGTGGCCACGCGGTTCAATGACGTTGCCGAGTTTGCCGTGTGCCATAAAGCCGCCACAATTGCTGCTAGAGTGTCGTTGTGACGGCTGTCGTTGTAATATTTGCCCCTCTTCTGCACGTGTGGTTCCAGAAAAAGCGGCTGCGTCTCGGGTCGGGGCAAGATAAGGACTGTGCGTAAAGACTTTTTTCCATGAAGCTTGGGTGCTTTCGCATTTGACGACGGCTTCGATTCGAGCTTTTTCGGTTATCCCCGGTTTTGATGAAACTCGACCGGGGGGTGAACTTTCGAGGTTTCTTGGTATTTGCCAAGAATAAGGAACCCTACGATGTAACGCGCCTCGAGCCAAAAGAAAAGGGGATAGGTGCGCACGCCATTCACGCGACTCGTCGAGCTGTGCTGCACGGAGCGAGCGAGCTTACCTGGAAGACCACGGACGTCTCCAGCCCAGGCAGGATGTCCAGGAGGAGACGGCACGCCGCCGTACTCAAGGCTCCTCCTTCCCGATTCAAGATGTAGTTGTTGACCAGCTGGCAGTGGTAAGAAAAGAAAAAAAGAAGACGACAATGAGTCGGCGCATATCGAGGGGAATTTTAAAAAGTGAGATGATGGTAGGTTACTCTGCTACCTCGATCTGTGTCTCGATTCATTCGTTGCAGGCCAATCATGAGCTGGGCACATTTCATCCTAAATCTATAAAGCAATTTTCCAACATTTCCTTCGTCCCAATGTGGCACATGGATGTGCGTGTGTGCCAAGAATGTCCGTCGGCAGCTGGAATAGTGGGGTGGTGTATTCCAGCGGGAGACCCAAAGCTGCACCGGACGCACTCTGAGCTTTCACTTCGATTGCAGTCAAAGTTTCCTCAGGTTGCACGTGCGACGAAATAGCCAAAAAGAGGTTATCCCAGACTGCACAAGAGCTAAACATTTAGTCACGATGTGTTAAAAAAAAAAAAAAAACATACACACACACCCAAACTGCAGTGAAAAATTTAGTATTTTTTTAAATTATACTTTCAATTTTATTTGTCTTTTTAGACTTGCAATGGTGGCAAAACATTATTTTCCAAATTTCAGCCAAACCAAAGACACATGTTCATTTTGTTTGAACAAACTTCAAAGTAATTTATGCAGTATCCATTAAAATGCCCATTCATAATATTCAGCCAGAAAAAAAAAAAAGAAAGCCCAAAATTTTTTAATAAAAATCCTACCTAAAAAAGTGGTTGCATGTTTTTAACCAAAAATCTAAACTACCGAAAATAAACTTTTTTGTATAAGGAGGTACCCCACTCTGGGAACACCACGATATGCACACCACCCTCGTCTAAATGATAGTGTTGTACTAGGCAAGACGTGTGCGCTTACAGCTGCGGCTTCGATCGCAAGCACGACGAGAAAGAGTATGACACTACTATAGTAAGGAGTCGACGGCGCTTCAAAATGGCAGATGCAGCAATTGTCGAAAACATGCTCGTGTTAATCGCTTCTTTGGAGGTTTCATTTCTCAAAAACAAGCTAGGCCTGAACCTTGAGATACCACAAAGCACCGCACAGCATGCTAAACGCACGACAACATAAAGCTGGTGCCACCTGTTGGGCAGCCCTAGAACACGTCCGACGTGCGTTCAAAATAATTCTGAAAATGTTATAAGTGACCGTTTATCAAAGATGGCGCCAGTGTCCCATATGTTGTCGCAAGCAGTTACAAAGGCTAGATGATATTTATCAAAAGGCCTTGACATAACCATTTCCTCAATAAAAACGTTTAACCACCAAGCAGTTACATGCCATCACAATGCAATCAATCACACCCAAACGTTAAAAGAAAAAAAAAAAAAAAAAAAAAAAAAAAACAGCGGTGAAGTGTTTTTTTACTCGAGTCCAAACACAAAGCAGCACTCACCTTGTTCATAAAGTCGTCGTTCTTGAAGAGGGTTTTGAGCAGATGTCCCAGCGTGCAGTCCGGATGGGCTCGACCTGCAGTCGGAGCTTGATCAGTCGCAAACTAATCACTTAGCGCTACGCCGGAGCTGACCTCGTGCTCCGTTCGAGCTAACACATACGATGCCGGAGCCATTGTGTGCTCCGTACGAGTCGATTCTGCCGCACGCTCGTCGACAAATGCCGTAATCCGATTGGCCGCGGAGAAAAGACGAGACGCTCGAAACTTGCCACGCCCTACGTTTCTTAACAGGGCAGTGAAGTGCTTTTTGACGGGAGTACTTACATAGCAGTTTGTCCGGTGATTTGAATATTGTGCTTCAATTGGGTAGAATTAAACGTAAACCGCTTTTATTTGGGGAGAAACGTGCAGCAATTGACATGGGGTGTGCAGCAAACCTCTCTGCTGCCTGTTATCTGTCCAAAGCATCGTGACATCACCTCTGGCGTTTTTAACTCAGCTTAGCGGCGAGTGAGGGTCATCTGACCCTGCAGATGATGTCACTCTTGGCAGTTATTCTTTCCGCTCCCATACTCTCCTACGCAGCAACAGGCAGAGCTTCGTCGAAATTTTAATTGGCGATAATGGCACTTTTACTTATCAAACAGAAAGAAAGCTACGCACACAATTTGTAGGGTTCCTTGAATCAAACTTTTCGCAGTTTTTTGAAATACAGATGCCCCTTCAGCTTCCCTCTAAGCTATCGGTGCGCAATACCTATACATTTGTGCCTGAAATGCCTATACTGGTATCACTAGCACATTGCAACTTTACTTGATGTACCTAAAAAATAGCGCCGGAAGGAAAGTCGTACCGGGGTGCCGGTCGTCAAAGGGGTCGGGGTCCATCTTGAGGTAGGCCTCGGTCTCCTTTTCCAAGAGCTCGGCCATCCTGCGAAAAGACGAAAAATAGATGTTAGCAGCCAGTTCGTAAGAAGTTCCACTCGTACATCCGCCAGCAAAGCAAACCATAAGGACCAAAACCTCCCCCACACATAAGAAGTTGAAGAGGTTACTGAATCAAACAAAGCTAGGGTGGAGGAGGGGATGTAAATCGTAGTTATAACTGGCTCGGGGAGAAAATTCGGCAAATTACGGCGTGCAAGTTCGTCAGCCCCTCGCATACTGCGTGCACCCACATGATTTTGTTTCCCCCGACCTCTACCAATATGGGCGCGCATTTGGCTGCCTAGTCATCGCACATTCCCAGCGCATTCTCTATGTTGCTCTTTGATTGGTTCCCACGGGCCAAAGGCGCGTTTTCAAACACTTGTCCACCGTGAATATGAAGGAATTTAAAGGTTACAATGCTGGCAATTACAGAAAGCCATACGACTTTGGAAGTTTTACTGTGGCTTCAGAGCCGGTGGAGTGATTCCGATCTCCAACGGGCATGAGAACGTAAGGAGTGTCTGGAAGCGTGCTGAGTTGTAAATATAAAAAAAAAATATGATGCAAGTGCCCACTTCTTACAAGCGTCCACTAGTAACATTTCCAAAACAAAACATTTTGCTAAACACACCAAGAAACATAGCTGGAACAGTATCCAAAATACTATGCCAAAATAATATTTCTTTGCGAAGTTATTGAATTTAAAATTTTCGTCCTTGTCGTGTTTTTCAAATAAAAAATCTACTCGCAACAATGAAAAAGTGACGCCTGTGGCAGGCAGGGGTTCGCTCTTTGCACGGTAGAATTTGTTCCTAACTGATCACAAGCAGTTTCATGGTGTTGAACAAATGCTTTGGAAGCTCGTTCCGGTACCCGCGCTCCGGCACAGAACAAATGCTCGGCATATTTCATTTGCTGACTGCCTGCTCGACTGGCAAGCCTGCCCGTCACTGATGTCACGGCAGTGAAAAGTGTGGGTATATATAAATGTTGGTTTTGGCGTCATTTTTATTTGCTAATTTCACAATAACTGTTCTGAATTTCACTATACTAAATGGCATACTGGAAAGGGTAAAGGCCATGGATTCAGAAAATATAGTTAGTTAGGGTCGCCCAAAAAATCGCCGGTACCCCTTTCAGCACTTACCCCCTCTAAAGCACCTGCATCAGCTGAAAATATTCACCCCGTTGCAGCGGCCACGAGACCGCCAGCGGCAATGATGGACATATAATGAAAGAATAAATGTGCCCTCTCCGATTCCGTTCACGCTGCCTTCAAAAGTCTTTATTCACCGCCATCTTCATTTTTATCGAATTGATCGCACAAGCGCCCAAGTCTAGATTAAACCCAGTTTTCAATAGGGAGTTTTAGCAAGTCCTTCCAATACCTACGACAACGATACCCCATAATGATACGATGCATGCGCAAGCAGGCAAGGCATCAGCAGATTATTGGGTATCGTTATCGGAGATATCGGGACGATCTACTAAAACTCTCTGACGAAAGTAGGGTGGGCACTTCTTCGGTATTTCACGGTAGGTGTGCTATGCATTGTCGGTAATGCATCCTTTCTGTAGCATAGCAATGTACTTGTTATATTTTCAAAATTAAAGAGTGACTTCCGTTCCAAGTAGCGTACGAGGATTATCTTACTCATTACCATTTCATTCCACAAATTAAAAACAAACGACATTTGATATTACTTTACACAAGACGCCGGGTGGAGGGGAGCACTCACTTGGTAAGCAGCGGAATCGGATCGGCTCCGGATCCGTTCTCGGACTCCCACTGCTGCAGAAGCTGGAACAGCTCCGCCACGGAGTCGAGACCCTGCAGGGGATCCGCAGCCGCAGCAGCAGTCGCCGCCGCCGGCTCCATGACTACGCAGGCCCGCTCTACCGGCCCCTGAAATGTGATTCAAGCATATGCTCGCATGTAACCATCTTGCAAGGCACGCAGATTAAAGCTGGCTCACACGTTCGCATTCGAGAGTAATTGACCGCATAGCAGCCGCCTGCGAGCACTTCCCCTGTAACATTTCCGATATGTATGAAACTAAACCGAAGGTTTAGCAGTATTTGCGAGATCAAATTTACGCGCATTAAACAAATCGAAACCGTTCCAGGGCGACCCAACAGACGGCACCAGCGTATTTTTCCCCTCTTAAGCAGCTACGGGTGGTCGCGACGCAGTCGATTACACTTAAACAGAAATGGTTGAACCAGACTTCATAGTCGCTGAAAAGATGAAGGCAAGGAGGTCTCTCGGTTGTCTGACGACCTCAAGTACGAGCTTCTAGTTATCAAGAACAGATGGACGTATTGCGAGCTTCCGAGCGCGCACGTGCAGCCACAGCAAGGCAGGAAGCAACGAGCGCGTGCGAGGATGGGCATCTAAAAGAGGCGCCTTTTCCTTCTCATCCCGTCAGCGACTAAAGGTTTCTCGAACCTGACATCACTTCCGGTTAGCCTCAAAATCAAAACCAACATTGCCGTCCGCCATCCGTGCCTTGGCGCCACGTCGAAAGTGTATGGCGTCTTATTGCGGCGGCGGTAGTGCCGTAGAGCCATAGGGCCGCTCACTCCCCTGGCGTTTGCCTCACTCGCGTTTGGTCGATAAAACAGATTGGTCGCGAGTGGTTGACGGAACGCAGGTCAGAATAAGCGTGACTCGTGCTTAACATCCTCGGACAGCGCTTGATTGTGCGCATGGACTGCCGTCGCTCGGCATGGCAAGATATGCATTGTGTGCTAATCATCTGCGGTGACTGACAAGAAAATTAGTGCCGCCACCTATACGTGAAATTATTTGGGGGTCGCTGTGCAAAACCTAACAGCACTGTAGCCGGTCCTCAAACTTTTTGACTCGTAATGTGGATGCTTGTGCCTGTGAGTGTGACTGTACATCCGTGCTGTTCCATCTAAGTATTTTTGACTGGATACGCAGGTGGGTACTGGAGGTGCCACACGAATAATTTCATCTGCGTTACTTGCCATAGCCAATCGCAAAGATGTTCCTCACCTGACACAAAGTGCAGTCCACAAATCCCTAGTTGGTTTCGAAGCTTTTCTATCGAGATTGTGACGGCGTATCAGTCGAAACCATTTGTGACACTGACAAACCAATTGCCCAAGCGTCGCCTTGTCCTGGTTCCTAATGGCTGCTGGAATTTTAAACAAACCAATACTGCTGTCCATCATCTGTGCGCATGTGCAGTTTTATTCTTTTTTAGTGTTTCTTTCAGTAAAGGTCAGTTGCAAGTTACGCCTCGTCCTGTGCGCTTCTTTCTTTGTTCGTGCTTTTAGGCATATTTACCACCATCAATACTGCTGGTCACAGCTACATTTTGTTGCCAACCTTTACGGCTGAAACAATGAATTACGGTACAACTGACCATTTTAAACCTCCATTGAGAGGACAAGCTACAGCGTGAACACGGCCCCAAAGCACGCAAAACATAGCATAACAGCAACGAATGCCTCTAACAAATTCCGACCAGCACCAACAAAATTTCAAAACCGGGAGTGGTGTTACATTATGGTCTCGTGCAAGGAAGCTATGTGGAGAGCAAGTTCGTCTGCTTCTGAGCAGGGGTTGTGGTGAAGTCAGAACGCTGAGCTCCAATTGGCTCAGACTGGAAGGATACTGGGTAGACCCCAAGGCAGCTAGCATTCACGTCTACCCACTATCTCTCCATCCGAGCCAATCAGAGCTCTGCATTCTAATGTCGCTGCAACCCCAGCTAAAGAAGCAGCCAAACTTGTGCTTTGCATAGCAGATGATAATTCGGAGAGATGCTAAAGCGAACTTCAAGCTTTAGTACACTCTTTCTGAAATTCAGTCTGGCCACTTTGATCACTGTGGTCATCAGAGTGCATGGCATCTGCAGCATGCTAATGGCGGTTTTCTGGTGGCCGACGAAAGAAGAAGTCGGAGACGTGCACATACCGAAGCAGCTAACACGAAACCTGCACATTTTAATTGTTAGCAGAGTGGGACAAACGAATTGGATACAAGCGCTGCTTTGGTGCTCGTTTCAAACAGAGGTGCGATCAATGGATAAGCCCACACTCAGCCCACAAGAAATTCATTGAGAGCTTTTCTTAGGGTAAGTGCCTCGTACAGACTATTTGTTCTTTTGTTGCAGTCACTATTTCAACACCCACCATCAAAATATCTCAAAATTGTTTCGACGTCTGTGACGCCACTTCTGTAAAACATCAAAATAGTGGCTCCTTTATTTCGACGTCCGCCTTCAATGCAGCCGTCGCAGTGGTATGGTGGAACCTGTTTCGTTTCTGATGGTGTTGTCGGTGTTGTGTTGACGTTTTGATGGATGCATGTATTGCGTGCCGAAGAAGTTTCGGTCATATAGACCGCTGTAACTCAAGATAGGGCGAGGGAAAGGAAGGCCGGGGAGGAGCATGCAGACGAAACGCTAAAAAATGGAGGGGTTTCCTCCTCCTTTCTTTAAGGACTGGCTCAACAGTTGATTCATTCGAACCTGACATGCCCGGCGGTGATGTTCTGAACTCGCATGTTATTTCGGCACGCGTCTCACTTAAAGTTTTAAATCTACAACAGAGGCGACCTGGATGTGTCCACTACGATTGATCAAGTGCCACTTCATCGAAATACATTTTAGAGAATGGGCATGTTTTATCGAAGCACAGCTTAGAGAACGCAGAGCCTCAATTCAGAAAAACGCCGTTTATCGAAAAGGGAACGCTATTTAAAAAAGGCTTTGCGGTGGCAATCTATGGCGGCTCAGTACAAAAATGTTAACTCCTGTGACCCATCCGTACATGCCACTTCGCGGCGGCTGAATTCACTAATAGAGGTTCATCGCCTCTATTAGCGAATTCGGGATTCAATAAACTGGGGTTAGTAAAACGGCATTAGTTAAAACGAGCTTCCCTAAACCTCATGCCTCCAGAGCTGGAAATCCCTCTGTCTTGAATGCACGTAACAAATGCAAGTGCATACACTATGTAACACTCAAGAAATTTTTCTTGAGTGTTACACGCACGATATGCCCCCTCATCGCACGATATGGGGGCATATCGTGCAAGCGCAAAGATGCGCTCGCACGATATGCCCCCATATCGTGCGAGCGCATCTTCGTATGGTTGCAGCCTTGCTTTGCATCTGGCTTCCATACCGTTTTTATCCGAGTTTTGTGAGTTTGTTGTTTAGTTTAGATTTTCTGTTTGGTTTGGGGTTAACGAGCTGGTTAACTGGGTTAACTAAGAAATGATTGGGATGTTAAATAAAAGGTTGTAAATGCAAACATTGTCTCTTTGATGTTCCTTGACCGGTGCAAACGAAAAAAGGTTCTGGCACGGTTGTACAAGATACACCCATTTTCCGATCAACTGCAAATTTTATGACACGGCATACAACTCCTTTGTCTATGTAAAACATGCGAAATAAATTGTGAAAAGCAGCGGCGCTCCATTTTGTTTGGGCAGAACCAAGCAAACGTTCTGAGCAGCCTAATAATTAATGTGCTTTGAGAAGATTTTTTTCTTTTTGGCATTTTACATTACTTAAAAAGTTTTTTTAAAAATAGAGCAGCCTACTGTGTGACATTTGTTTTCGGAAAATATATGTCCAACCGTGACGCTGCCTGAAAGCAAGATTATATTATTTTTTACAGCCACTTTCGATCGCTCCCCAGTCCGAACTCGGGCTGTCGGGCTGGGGAGTGATTGAAGTTTGAAACATGAAAATAATGACAAAAATATTTTGACGAGGGGGACGTCAAAATGTTTTGAAAATATTTCCACATCTTCAGACAGTGGCGTCACAGACGTCAAAGTAATATTGAAGATTATTTTAAAAGTGGACGTCGAAACAATCACTGCCCTTCTTTTTTCGCACCGCAACTGAAAACACTCGAGAAGAAACTGTTTGGTGGAAAGTACATTTCTGCCTGGTGTTAGCTTACAAGAGTGAGAGTGCCTGAAAAATTACTGCATTTTGCCAAAAGCCAAATTTAGGCCCTTTGAAGGAGCTGAATTTCAGAAAAGATGCAATCTACAATTGGAAAACATGGAGGACACATTCCAAGCAATACCGACGAACTTCAAGTATAAGCAGACGATTTCTAGTATTTTGTGAATTTCATGATACCGGCAAAATCGTTATGATCAGTTTGTTGGCCAACGAAACCAATTCGTTGGCCAACAAACTGATCATAACGGTTGTGCCGGCATCACAAAATTCCATGTACAAATGTACAACGTCTAAGGCTAAGTGAGACATTGCTTCAATGTCCCTATGTAAGCAGTTCTGGGACAGTAAAAGAACACTGGTTAAAACAAAAATTGTTTTTCTTTTTGCAGCGCCTGTTTGTGTTTTGCATCCCCTGCATAACCATTGAAATTCGGAATTGAGAAACATGATCGTCGAAATGTCGAGTTAGCCAAAGTCGGCAACATGAAGTCGTAGAAAAAGTTTCAAAAACGGACAATTTTCTTTTTCTGTCAACTCGTGATTTATGAAAATCCAACACGTATCACGTGGAAAGCACACTCTCAAAACAGCAATTTTGATCAAAGTCCAGCTAGCCAACAACTGTACGAAACAAAAAATGCAAAAACGCACGCCTGCCAAATCAGAGTGGTCAGCTGACAGCATCAGCTGTTAAGTCAGCTGATTCCGGTCTTACATCGAAACCTCGAGCGAAAGCCGACGAACTTGAGGACATTTGGGAACCTTGGTAACAATTAAGAACGCGCTTTGTGAAACTCGTAATCATACGAGGTCCGGAAAATTCGAATCAACGAGCTGAAAATCCCGCCACATTCAAACCTCCAAACATGGACGCTCCTTTCGACTCAACACCGATCACGTCCAACGCGGCAAACCTCACATTTCCTGCCTTCAACCAGTCGAGATGACAAATTCCCTGGAGCTAGCGCGCACTTGCATCTAAGGTGTCATTAAACTCGAGATGAAAAGAGAAAGAAAGGCACTCAATTGATGCTATGTTTTTTTGTTTTTATCGTAACCCCGGAATATTCAGACGCCGGCTACGTATCACGAAAGCCGCTTGCTACCTTTGCGAGCTGACGGATCGTCACGGTCAAGCTTACCTATATTGTAGATAACGGATGATCTTAAAGCTACAGGCTATTAAATAAATGGCTAATTAGGACGCTCGTAATGAAAACCAAGTGCCCGATTCCGAACTCGCGAATGAATGGCAACAGCTGACGAGTTACACAGCGAGACGGATCTTTAACGCCCATCTCTGCTTTACTTCACCTTGGTGTGATGTTAAACGCACCGTTCAACATCACACAGCAACTTACGAAGTACGCACATAGCCTAAATCGGATATGGAGCTGAGCTTCAGCTGGGATTAGGCGGTAAAAATAAGAAAAGTTCAGCTGCTTGCGGCTAACCCTAGCTTATTGTCGGTGCATTGGCGGATATTTAGTGACAAACAGAGACGCTTCTGGGGGAAAATCGTGAGCATTCGTGATTATATCACGTAAGTGTGCGCAAATGACTTGCCTGTGTGGGTTCAGGTGGTCACTCCACGCGGTTTTAGCCCGGTATTTAGCTCCAAGCTCGAACGCACGACCAACGTACGACCGTGCACCGTGTGCCACGTGCTAAGCTTCGCTTACCTGCCACCATATGGCGCAACAATCGTTCTCGTCTGCGTTTGTTTTGAAGATATTTTCTTTTTTTAAGTCGGCAAACAACCCGTGAAGTGGAAAAAAATACTCTAAAAATACTGATTTTTAAGGCTCAAAAGTTTATATCGGTATTTTTTTAAACAGTTGTTATTCATTGCTTTCGTTTTGCTTCAAAGCAAAACCAACCAGCGCATGCCCTGTTAGGTGCATTCCGATTTTACGCGTTGAAGAAGTTAAAAATGATGATGACGTCACATTAATTTTAACTTTTTGACTTTTTGTTTTAAATTTTACCTGAGTGGATCTAGGCTACTCCCGCTCAAAGCGTGCTATCACGTGTAAGCACGCACTGAGAAATTTTATTTACGCTCGACGCGAGTAGGTTTTCGAACGTCAAGGGACTGAACCTTCACTCTGGAGTGAGAGTGAGTAAATTTAGAACACAGCCGTCGTCGTTTGCTTGAGTTCTGGTTTCGTTTTGAGAGCGGTGCGCACGCGCCTTCCGAGTTTGGGTTTCGTTTTAGCTTCGCTTTGCTTTCCGTTGTTACAAAAATGTCACAAGCTTGTCTATTAAAGCAGAAATTGAGTACTCATATTACACCAAGCATTTTAATTACAAAGGTATTGCAAATAATTGCATGGCGCGACTCCGTTAATGCGAACACGAGGGCGCCGACATACCTCAGTTTCCTCGCACGTCCTACTGCCATCGAAGCGACCTGTGCGTTGAAAAGTGTAGCTGTTTGGCGCCAACTTGAGAGGTAGAGTTTGGTGTGGGTATTTAATTTACACCAACTCGCTCGCGCTTTTGTTCTTTTGTGTTAGATTCAAACTTGTGTAGGTTAAGTTGCACTAAAGAGCCAGTATCGTTTCCCGATTGACAGGACTTTGACTAAGTGTAAACATGGTGATAAGATAACCATTATTTATGTTCACGTATGGCTTGTTTCTGTGTTTCGTTTTTTTCCTCTCTGCTTTTTTAACTCAACTTTTTTTCATGCAGCTATGTACGATAACAATGAATGGACGACAGCAAACAAGTACCTACCTTTGCAGCCGGGCGACAAATATATTGATAGCCGTTATCGAAGAAGGTGATCCGGTAGTCGCCATGCCAGCAATGAACCCGGGACTTCTGCTGTTCATTTCATCGCTCTCGAATGATTCGTTTGAACGCCATTTCAACACAAAATAAGAAGGTGAAATAACAAGTAACATTTTGTGTGTTTGTGTATTAGCAACGTTTTCATAAAGAAAAAAATGCTGAACTTTAAACAATTTTTGTGACGGAAGCAAAAAAGAAAAAGAAATAGTAAAAATTGCTGTTCGGTTAATACATTGGTAGTTAGGTTTATAAAGAAAAAAACTCTACATCAATATTCACAAAAAAAAATCTAATTTTCTGGGTGTATTTCGAAACTCCCGTTGGCGACGACCACGCCTCTCCACTCAACGTTATCTCCACCATACACTCACAAGTTGTTTGACGTCACAACCCTAAACTACCCCACCTGACACGCAGGTAACCTTCTTTAACTCCGACCTCGATTAAATAACCCAACGATATTTTTTTCTTCTTTCAATTCCCAATAAGTGAGCGCCGAGCCGACAAATCGAGCGCACCGCCGTATTCAAATATAGGAAAGGGAATATCAAACGAAAGAGAGCAGTGTTTGTAGTTACCTGCACTTCCTCCTTTCCACTCTTAACCCTTTCTCCCTTTCCGCGGCTTTCCCCCTTTCCCAAAGCAACTACTCTCTCCCTCCGTTCTTCAAGTCACCTCCTGGATCGTAATGGGGGCGAAATTTGAAAGAGACTCGCTTTGTTCAACGCCAAGTCGCCGAGCGAACGCGCCGGACCTACCCGAGCTGCCGAGGATATGCCTACGGTAAGCTCACACGTATCCGTTTCTCCCGCATATCTCTCCGCTATCGTTTACCGTTTCGGTTACCGTTCGTGCCGATTGGACTGATACCGTATGGTTCGCGGTTTGAGCCGAGGGTCTGGATCGTACGTTTGTTTACAGAGCAGTTTCGTACGCCATGTGATTTGCACTTTTTTTTTGTGGTTGTTTCATTATTTGTTGTCGGTGTTTACACTATAAAACCGGCTTATCCAAGTGAGCTTGGCGATCAAGGAAAAGGTGGTGTCGCGAAATCCAGGTCGCTTCTCACGGCGATACTTTTGCTTTCCGCGATTATCGTCTGCTACACTCTTGACTCTTGAGGAAGGGCGGTCGTGTTGTCCTGTGTTCGCTGAAAAAAACCCGGATGGCACCGCGAACGACGTGTTGGCGGACGCGCGGGAACTGCGCTCGGCTTGTGTTTCGCCTCTGGTCTAAAACTGACGAATTCGCGAACACGTCTTCCGTCCGTTTGCCTGCATGGCAAGATCACGCAGTCACGCATAGACGGCATTGCGTTCATTATGCCCGAACACGCGTTGCGGATCTTTGACCCGGTTTGTTTTTATCTTGCGTTGTATCGGATAGCGTCGCTGAGTGAGCAGACGAACTAATAGAACGCAGTCGAACCACCGTAAACCACGGAGGGTTTCCAATGGTCCGACAGAACCTTACGGTGAACCGTGACTTGTAATACGTTTTATAGCTTCGACAATGTGTTTGTGTATTTTTTTTTCTTTTTGTCTCGAATGGCAGTTTAGTGCCAGGCATTCTCTGCTACTCCTAAAAGCGTTGCGCAGAAGACAATTGAAAGCTATAGTTTGAAAAAGAACATTATTTACTGTTTTGTTAATGTTTTTCGTGTGTCCTCAACCGATGTGTCTCTTCGTCGCAGCTTCGAAAGCTGCCAGAACTCTCTTACTGCGGTTGCAAATGTTCATTTTCACGAAGCAGAAATTTAAAGCGGCGATCACACCACTAACACATCATACAAGAGACAGTCCGCACACATGTTTGAACAACATATATGTGTATGAAGCAATCATGTTTCGCACATCCGTGAGGTGTGTCCGATAATAAATCTGTAATTATGTCTGCAACGCATACCGTGTCTTTTGTATAATGTATATGATCGGTGTGCCCGCTGTTCAAATTATACTTGCCCAGTTGGCCCGGTTGCCCGCCCAAGTGGCAGAAAAGAATACCAATCAGTCATTCCGTTCGTATAGTTTCGTATATACATCTTCTCGTTCACCATTGTCTCGGGAGTTCAGCGCAGTGCCACATAACGTTATGAAACCGATAACGATCGCACGGAAGTGGGGCAGCTGTTATAGAGAGACGATGACCCTGGCGACGGATTAGGAACTAGAAATACAATGAGACGTTGAAACGAGGCGAGAGGCCGTACGATATTCTTGTCACAGGGGATTGCACGCGTGAACGTATATACGATATAGACGTTAGCAAGTATACAACTTCTGGGAGCTGCCATCTTGATAGTCCTGAGCAGTGTGAATACGGCTGTACTCAAGGCCCAGTGTCTGGGGAGGACGTTTCGGCATCGTTTCGTTCTCCAACCACAATGTTACGTAGAAGTCGGGTCGCCCCCTGTCGCAATAACTCCGCGCAGTGCCTTACGAAAGGCTCCGTCTGGGAATGTGCGCTTGTGCCCTGTGTGGGCGGAGGGGGGGAGGGCCTTAATGGTGCGACGGCGGGGACTGACTCGGACCGTGACCGCTTTCACGAGTCACGTGACCGTGACGTGAGTCACGTGGTGACCCGCCTGAATAGACGGTCCCCGAAGCGAGACGCTGTGACTAAGCGATCGAATCTTTTGTCTGCGCCGTCCCATTCGTTTGCGTGCATCGTTCGCTACCTTTGTGTTTTGTTTTTGTATTCCTTTTAGCGTGTCGTTTGCGGTTGCAGCTGCGCGCACGCGCGGGAGTCCAAATTACTCCCTCCGAAAGAAGAGAGGTGTAACGGATACACCCTTTAAGGGCGTTTACGCTGTGTGTGGCGTGCTTTCTGGTGAATGACAACTGCGCTCCCTTGAACCTGGTGTGAATGGACCGGCCGAAAGTGGATATTGAAGTTCAAGACTACGGGACGAAGCAGAAAATGTAATTATTATATACAATATGCACATAACACCAAGCAACTGTCTTCACTGGTTTATCGAGTGATTACTCATTCCGGAAAAAAAGGTGTAACGTGTACATTAGGGCGTTTACACCGTGTGTGACCTACTCTGGTGGCCGCTACACTCCCTTGACCGCGGTGTAAATGAACAAGTCGGAAGCCGTATCAGGCAATTCTATAAAACGCTTCATTTTTTTTTCACAGCGTCCGTCTCTTTTCCTAACTTTTAAGTAAAAATGGTGTCAAAAGGTGTATCGTTACACCCTTTGTCCCATATAATACACCCCAAAACTTCAATTCGACGTTACAGCGCCCTACAGTCGAACAGACGGCCCCAAAATTTAACAAGGGGCTTGATAGCCGTGTGGTACAACTTATCGAAATAATTAATGTTTGTTTTACTGACTAGAAAAAAAATGATCGGGGTTTACTTGGCCCTACTGTAAAAACTCGGTGTTTTCTTTATGTGATCTTTGATAGGTACTTTAGCTATTTAAAATGTTATATCGCACCGGTATCAAGCCCCTCGTAAAATTTGGGGCCGTCTGTTCTACTATAGGGCTTTGTACGTCGAAACGAAGTTTCGGGGCGTATTATAATGCCGCGCCCAGGGCTGAGAAAGCAACGCTCGGTCACGGACCTCCAGAAAGTTCTCGTTTATTCATGTACCGCTCGTAACTTCTATCATTTATTCCTGCTTTTGTCGCCGACTTCGACGCCCGCGACGCTCTGCTTTCTTCTGTTTCCTTCTTTATTTTTTGGCACAAGTTCGCCACATTAAACGTTTATTTCTTTCTGTTTATTTCCTGTTTTTTTGTTTGGTCACCACTCGTGACATTTGGTGGAGGTGCCGGGTACCGCATGCCCTTGCAGCGTTCCCCTCCCAGGACCCGCAGTGCAAGCCCGACTCCAAGCTCGCTGAGAAGACCACTCAGCGCGGAACCTGAAACTCGGA